ACTTTCATTTTACAATGTTATGGTTATTCTCAGTGTAGACTTTGAAGTGCGCTGATGATATCAGTGATCTACATGAGAATATTCCATAGACTAGAGACATTCTTGTCTAGGGCTTTGGAGTGCACCTATGGTGACCCGAGAAAGTTGTCTTTCTCTCATATTTTTGCTTTAAATCAAAATTAGAATTCTTACCTATCATATTTATTTCTATTTCTTGTTCACTAGATTGTTTTTTTTATAACTCCCATTTTGTCACCTACATATATCGTAGTCTTTTGCATACAATTTTTGCTTGCGGCATTACTCTCATGTATCATGATTTATTAAAATATCTTGTGATTTTCGTTTCGCTATTTTGCATTTTACATATGCTCATTTTTTTTGAGAATTCTTTATAAAATCATGCTCATATAGCTTTCACTTTATGATTTTAATACTATTAGATTTACAGTTGCACTTGTGTTGCACTTAGTTTTTTTTTGGAAATTTATTTTGCTCTTTTCTATATTGTACTCCAAATTTTTTTTTTGGTCTCTTTCTTATGTTGTCACATGACCCGAAAATTCTGATTGAACTTACTCTTGAATTTTAGTTCGTTGATTGAACTTAAGCTATATTTTGACTTTGAAAATCTTACTTCAATATTTCATGAATGTCTCTTATATACTTTAATTCTCTGAAAACATTTTGAATTATTTTGTAGTCTTACAGACTGCTGGCGCCCGACAATTTTTTTGTGGAATCAGAACTGCACTTAGTTAACATCTTTATTGATTAAAATACCTTCGTGATCAAGTTTTCATTGGTTTAGTACTTGTAAATTGTTTTGTTATATGACTTGAATTCATATTAGAATTTGTTAATTTCTTTTGATTTTCATGTTTTGAAAAGAAGTAATGCACAGTTTTTTATATTGGATATTGGTTTAAAATATCACTGTATATGATATTCTTTTTGGGTTTGGAGTATTGCGAGATAATCTGGCAATTGTTTTGAGAATGTTTATTATTCTTTTTTTTAGTACCTCTTATGGTTTAGGTACTTACTTAGTCTTGAAGTTTTTAGTAGCCAGTCGTGCATTTTGGATGCCATTGTGATTCATGCTTGGACTACTGCTGAAACTTATGGTTTATTATTTTTCTCGTCTTAGGTATGACGATGTTTTATGTTTTGGGTTTTTCATCATATGATGATAGTTTTTTTTAAGTGCAACTTCACTGTACTTTTCAGCGAGTTGGTGCTATAACCATCCCTCTTGTTTGGTAGACTTGAGGCTATCCCTTTTCCTTCCAATTCTCTTCTAACATTTTTGTTTCTACCTTACTTTTACTACTTGTTATCTGGTCGAATGGTTGTACATTTGTCCTTCCGTGATAACTTTCAATTTCCTAGTAAAAAAAAAATTCTTGAATGCTTCTTCGAATTTTTTTTTTTGGTTAAGTTGGGGCGAGTGTAACGGTTTCACCGTCCGATTGTATTTATTAAATCACTTCTCGATTATTATTTCTGAATCGCAAATCATTAATCCCATCTCTAGCTTTCTTACTTGGAAAATTTTCCGCTTGGACCGCTTGATGCGGAGTTCCTGATCTGCGATCTTCCTCGCGCTTCCTTTTCACTTGAGCCGCCGATCGAACAACGGCTAGAAATTTCTTCTCAGTAGCACAAGGTTATATAGCACCATGTGCTAGAATTTTCCAGAATGTGTGTCCGTATAGGACAAAAATGATTGGGGCCACCCCCTTTCTCTTTCCCTTTCACTTTGTCTAGCCTTGGCCAATATTTTCACCCATGCATGTGCCTTGGCAGCGCCATCGCCTTTAACTTCGCCTACAACTGGTTGTGAAGCCACTATATGGAGGTCACCCCTCATAACTGGGACCTCCCCTTCAAGCCCCTGGCCATCCTGGCTTCAGTCGAGTAAAAATGGAGCAGCGAAAGATAAGTCGATAGCGTTATAGCAGCGCCAAAGATGTAAAACTTATTTTGTTATTTTTGTAAAATTGTAATGTAATGAAAATGCCTTTTTTTTTGTTAAATAAAATCTGTTAAATTTTTGTGTTCTGTTTGTTCTTCTATCCTCTAGCCATGCCATGGTAGACATATAGCTACACGCCTGTAGATGTCTTCATGCCACCGACTGAGCTACCGGAAGCTAATTGTAACCCCTTTTGTGTGATTGTGCAGAAAAGTTGGAATCTTCATTGCATTCCATCTTTTCTGGACTTTTTGCGGAAAGGAAGCGTTACAACTTAGTATATTAAAGTCTACTTTAAGCTTTAAATCAATAAATCTTCAAAACTACTGAACTGAAGCTCATGTATTTTACATCATTATAAAGGGAATTGAAAGACCTTTAAAATAAGGTATCACTCGACCCCCCTTTCCATTTAAGATTTTAGGGTTGGTGTCACCCCCGCCCAGGGGGCTGCACGTGTTCACGTGATTTTTTGACAAAAATGTGTCCCCCTCGAAAACAAAATCGTTGGGTCTGAGCGTTTTTCCAAAAAAAAACTGAGCTGCCAGTAAATGCGTCTGTTTCGTTTTCGATGCGCCACCCTGTATATTGTAGGTCAACACAAATTGTTGTATGTAGTATATGGAAAATTGAAACTAAAATGCCAAAAGTGTTTTCCACATCCCGACGTCTTCTGGATATTCTATAGTTGCACACGTGTAGGAAATCCTATGTTCAAAACTGTAGTACAAGGTTTAATGACTTTTCCGGAAATGTGTCATCGGCTAGAGAAACGTATAGAGTTGACATTTCTCGTCCAGGGAGGGCTTCAGGATGAGGTATAATAAGAGTTTGATTCAAAAGTGCATTTCCAAAATGTCTAAATACCATCGAATATTCTTCCTTGAACTTCGGCATGTACAAGCAGAAATTCGTAATGTGCGTTCGCTACAGCAAATAGCACCACGCTAAAAAATGCTTGTAATTAAAATACTGGCGGAAGCAGTTCGGTAGACGAGTAATTGCAACGTGTTTTCCGTCAATTGCACCCAGACGTCGAGGTAAATTCTATCGAGATTCGAATTCGTTTTTACCATTGTGTCACCTCCTATGGCATCTATATAAAAATTATTTCAGGCGCATTAGAAATATAATGGAACTTTTCACATTGCTGTTTAGCAGTGGATGGCTATAGATGCCATTTTAGAAAAGGCCGAATATATTCGTGAAGCTGAAAAAAAAGCAAATCGAATATACTAGTTTTGATGAGCATGTTGCAATCAAATTGGCAAGTACGACGACTACAACCGCTCCGAAGCAGAATTTAAAATTATACAAGTTATCATCGTGACATGGCAATGTACGGAAATCCACAGCAGACGGAGCACGGTCCATCAACTTCAGAACTAGATGACTCTGCAAATTCTATAAATCTGTTATACATAGTATATGAGCCCAGGACCACCTAGGGTAGGCATTTCCGTTTTCAAAAGGACAGCCAGCCCCGAAAAGCGTCAAGCGAGCATGATTCCCTTTAGATGTCGCATTCCAGATCACAACAATGCACAAGCAGCATTTTGTCGAAGATTGTAACGTATAACATTTAATGGTTGTATTACGGCAATAGTTCTGGGTGGATTTTGGCGTTTTTGGGGCGGTGGACGTGTCTGGTACATTAAAAAATGAGTTTACCCAATGCTCGCTTGTCGCTTTGGAAGGTTGGATGTCCTTTCTGGAAACGAGAATGCCAATACCTCAGGCGGTCCTGACCTTTGCTGGTTTTGCGCGCTGCCATCTTAAAATTGTAGTAACACATTGTATATTAATGTGGAAATAAAAGGAAGAAACAAATGAAGTGTCACTTGGAAGACAGATAAATTAAATATATTGCCAAAAGTGTACTTGAAGGTCACCGTAGGGACCGATTCGGCCCAACGAATTCGAATACCTAGTCCGAATTCGTTGATTCGGCCAGAGAAACATGGGGTATTATTAACATGAAGACCAGACATATCTGTGTCTTTTTTTATTTTCGATCCGCAGGGGTGTTATGTAAAAAACCTAAAACTGTAAAAAACCGACAAAATCTCATCTTGCCGACTAGTTAGTTTTTAGTGTGCAAATAGTTCCACGTTTGCTCGCTATGATCGCTGGCAGCGCCATCAAAAAAGTCCATCTATGGAGGAATGACTCAACGACACATGTATTGTAAGTTGCAGAAAGCCGAGTTGTCTGTGGTGTTTATCTATAAGATGTGAAACAAAGTGTGTTGAGTATAAAGATCGCATCTGGATGATGTATATCTATTAGCTGTGCCCGGCCTCTCTCCAGAAAGGACAACATATAAATAACCCGTCGAGCACAGATAACAGATATACCTCATTGGCAGCATATTCAGTAATAATTTTCGCATATGGCAAATATCACTGATTTTATACACCTGCATCTTCTCAGGGATAAACTCTACAGCCTTATCGGCTTTCTGCAAAGAACAATGCATGTCGTGTCGTTGAGTCATTCCTCCATAGATGGACGTTTTTGATGGCGCTCAAAGCGATCATAGCGAGCAAACGCGGAATTAACTAAAAATTTCCTAATCTGAAAGATGACATTTTGTCGTTTTACGTTTTTTAGGTTTTTTTTATATAATACCGCTACCGGTTTTCACCGTCAATGCAGATTATCTGTAGGTCATATGGTTCAGGGGATTCTCTTGAGCTTCTCCGTGTTTTCCTTTTGGTCAATGAATGGAACTGGACCCAGCTACAAAATTCAACGTCGGCAATGTAGATGTTTACGTTTAGAAGAGATTAAAGCGCTGGGCGGAATCAAAAGTAGCTGCTATTATATACGTCTACGGCAATGCTGCAATCCCTCTCCTTTTTTTGTTACGTTTTGCCAGCTAATATTGTTAGCTTTTTCCACAAGAAAAAAATCCTTATAACTTTAGTGCTCCCAGTCGATGCCTACTACACCGACTGTATGTACTTCGACTACTTTGTGTGATACAGCCATCCTGAATTTGAAATTGAATCAACACTCATATTAAAATAACATTTTATTTTCTAAAATCGGAGAACAACTCTTACTATATCATTTGTTAAAGTATATTGTACAAATGTTTATTGTAACAAAAATTACGGTAAAAAAATTAAGAAACCTTAGAAAGTATAATTATTTAAAAACACTGTAAATTGACATGACTTTGAAAATATTACTGGATCTTGTTTTGAGAGAACAGCCAAAATACCACCGATGAAAAAAGCACAAGTTATCATAAAAAACATTTCCTAAACATAATAAAGCAAAAATAGGATAATATAATGTAGACACTATCTGAAATACACAATTTGCTCAGTGCTCAACTCATAGTGCCCGAGGAAGCACGTTTAAAGGATTTTTATACATAAGCACAATTGTAAATTTTCACTTGCAAAGTGAATATAGCCTGATTTCTTGTAGACATTTCCTTTTTATACAGGTACTTTAACAATGATTCTGCAAAATGCTTATTTTCAGATCAACGTTTATCGGAAAAAATACTTATTTTCGATTCGTAAAAACGAGGTGCAATAATGAACGGACTTTTGTGTCATTTGTCGCGTAACAACTGAGAAGAATTTAACCTCACAAGGTTTGCTACTAGCATCTTTTTTTGCTCAATTTTTTGTATGGTTGGTTATTAGAAGAAATATGCTTGTTTTTTGTATGTCTGTAAGATACTATTCGAGTATGGAATACAAAAACGATCTCAGAATTAGGAATGAGGTAGCTGAACATGAACAATCTCACAAAAATACTTTGTAAGTGAAAATTACAACAGACACAACCAGCTAAATAACTAGCTGTTTACATGACGTCTTACCATGCTTTATTCTTCAATATACCAAATATAATAACCACTCTAAAATATGACTGTTCAATTCCATACTAGTTACCCAAAGAAACAGGTTGCCTGTTTGTGACAGCAGGAGAAAATATGCCGAGTTTCCTGATCTCTTTCGAAGTCATTGGAAAATAGCAAGATCGTGGAATTAGAATGAAAGAAGATTCGATTTCTATGTATGATAGGGAGAAATCGGTTTCCCGATATTTTTATATTAACTGGATCAATATCGCCATTTTTACTAAAAATTTGTCTGCAATAGTTATTGCATATCTGTACCCCAGAGCCAGATAAGGATCAGTCCATTTTTTGTCAAAAATGACTTCAATATGTTAAGCTTATGATTATATTGTGAATTTTCAAGTGCTACTTGCAGTGTCCATCTATCTGTAGTAATAAGGAAGTTACGACATTTTAACTAATGTCAAGTCGCACAAGAAAAAAATTTCAAATTCAATTATCTCAAAACTACTTATTTTACTTAACCTAGCCTGGCTCTGAGGTACAGTTATGGATTACAATAATACCTGTGTTGATCACTAACTTATTAACTGTATTTTTGAATACTAAAGTAAAAAATAAATAAAAATGGCAAAGATACACTCAAATCACATAAAATGACTATCATTTGTCATAAAGGCTATGAATAGTGTTTAAGAGTAGGTACTTCGAAACACAACCTAGCACAGAATGAAACAGTGTCATTTTAACAGGCATGACTTGATTCAAAACATTACACATAGTAAAACATTAGTCGATTTACTATTTTACTTAATATTAATCTCTCCTTATAAATGTTCTCCCACTGAAAAAAAGAGAAAATAAAGTTAAAATTATGTTTTCTATGTTCTATTCGTTGTTAAAAGTCAGCTAATCCTTTTTCTATAACCTGCACATTTTCTCAAATTAGGTTACATATACCAGTTTTCAGAACACATAGTACATAATTGGAAAAAGTCGCTTCCTACTTCACTTAATGTTCCACAACTCTCAATTCGAGTATTATAAAAAAATTCACAAAAAAAACATGTGAGTTTTGAGGAAATGCATGGGATGCAATAGTTTGCCTTACTAATTCGTGAATAAAATTTATTCATTAGTTGACGCACGCTGTTCCTTTAACTTACACGTAAACAAGGAAGGCAATATCATAACAAAATATATACGTGTTTCCACAGATTTTGGCGGTTACTTAGGCCCGTATCGTCAGTCGTCCCTAAAATTGTAGGGCGCGTTTATGGCCTCCTTGATTGTCATACTCTTTTCTCTATTTCAAAAATTTCTAGATTACACTCGTACCGTGTCAGCGTCAGCGCTATCTATCCTATTGTTAAGATATGTTTTCCTTTTAAATTGTAGGAAATTTAAGGCTGATAAAACATGATAAAACTCAAAAGCAAGCACAATTTGATGCAAATAGATGTTTCTGAAATAACCTCAAAATAGAGCGCTGACACGAAGAAGTAGAAAACTATGACGATCAAGGAGCCCATAAACGCGCCCTAAAATTGTAGGGACGACTGACGATACGGGCCTAAATAAAGGACCGCTGTTTTCATCCACTTTCTAGGAATACCTTAATAACTTTACCCCAAATAGTCGAAATTGTCCACCAATCGTATTTCCAGGCATTGCTACATTTTGTGAAAATTATCACCAGAACGCCCATAACAATTGAATGGTAATGCTGAAACTGACGAATGAAGACGTAGGACACTCATACGGAAAAATTCTTGAGGCAGCGTGTGTTGTGAATCTCCATGTTTCACTTGCCGCCAAAAAATGACATGTATAGAATTGAAGATATACTAATGTTTCGTCACACAAAAACATTTTTTTATTTGTACCTTGGAAAAGGTTACCGAGGCGACCGAAACGGTTAGTGAATTTTCAATTCTACATCTGTGCACATATAAGTCGATTACATGTGCCTATGTGAGGGAGGGGGCGAAAGTCCTGTACGCCGGCATGATAAACTTCCTTAAGGTGAGATTTGATCACTGAGAATAACAACGTCGCATCGGAAAATATCGGTGCTATGAGGTGCCACAACGTTGGAATGCATTTATTTGCAAAACACTTTTGCACGATGAATGAGGAATGGGTGGGTCTTTGCGAAAATATTTCACATATTCAAATTTCTGTATAACAGCTTGTGAACGGTTTCTTTGTTGATATTTAACTAGTAGCAAAACCTATGAATGTTTAGGCGTCGGTTATACATCATGATTAGCGCGTGCAAAATGTCTACTTTCGCGTCGAGTCATGAATCGGTAGGAATTACCGATTCTTGTTCCTCTTTGCCTATTCTAGCACAATCGTTTTCTACAAGCACTCGCCTCAATATACCACGTACAATTTTCGGAGGATTTCCATGTTCCCAGCTTAGACAACAATCAGGTATGAAACACTGACAGTATAGAAAATGTCCGCCATTTCGGCCGAGAAAATCGCATGTCAATTCCCCTAGTACAACGATGAAAGCTTCAAAATAAAATTGGTAATGGTGGAAGTATTTCCAATAAACTTTTGCTATGTATTCTAGGCTGCTGCGTTATAATCAATCAACCGCAATTTCCATGTAAACCGTGCTAAAAACTACATACAAATACAACTTTCACTCAATCACAAGAATTTTGCTGTATTTTCAGCGGAAAAACCGAGAGCAAACCATGAATATAAAAAATATAGGTCGAAGCATATTACAGTGATAAGCCATAGCAATTACAGGTAAAATAATATGCAAATTGAATTTACCATATGAATATTCATGGTTTCTATCTAAAAATATGTGGTTTTACATTATTTGATGTATGTGAAGCCAGTAATGCTCTGTTTATTTGAAACACATCCCACAGATGATACTGACGATGAAGAAATTAGAATTGGAGGATTTTAAGAACAAACAATTTCCAGGCATTCAGCCGGTATATTATTATATATTTTACATGAAATTGTAGCTATTGAGTACCAATGGTGGTATATCAATGTTGCAATAAGCACATTTATAATTTAAACATTTACTACAGATGTCCAAGAGAAATTTTTCTCTTGGCTATGGATGTTGTGATTGTCCGTAGGTAGTAGACGGTCTCTGACTGTCGTACGCGGAGGTACCACCCGGCGGATCTCGTAGGCGTCCCCCCCTTTTCCCCTGTATGTATCCTCCTATAGCCCCACGGTACCCCATGTGTGTTTAGGCCTTAAGCCTTCGTGGTAGTTGAAGTATAAAAAAAATATTTATAGTTTTTTCGAAAATATACATGAGAAACATTTTTATAGAAATTGCAGCACGGTACATTTCGGTGATTTTAATATAAATTTAGATAACCAACACTTCTACGCAAACAAAAGTCTATGATCACACCAGAATTACAAATCAATAAAGAATTATAGATTTGATAATGACAAACGAACAAAATTTAATTGCAAAAGTTATGCATACTCCTAAAATCAGTGATCATTCATGGATATGTTTTGAAGTTGAAAGTATATTTGATGTTAACCAATTACTATTAGGTTATTCGGAAAGTTCGTGCAATTTTTAACCTTCAAATTCAAAGGAGCATATCTCAGCTTTAACAAAACTGTATTAATCAAAATAAAAATCATTAGAATCAGAACACTTTTGCCAACGAGAAACAAGTTTATTTGTACCGCTAACGTAGAAATCCGGAGTTCTGGGGGCGATGAACCCATTGAAGGCATTTTTGGCATCGACTTGGTTAATGAAGCATTTCTGGCTAAGGAAGTTGTCGAGGTGTTTGAAAAAGTGGTAGTTGGTGGGCGAGAGGTCCGGCGAATATGGTTGATGAGGACATGGCACATTTCGTTCAGCTTTTGCAGGGTCGTGTGTCCGGATGCAAACCAAACAGTCACCATAACCTTCTTTCGATGGAGTTTCGGCTTCGGGAAGTGTTGTACAGCCTCGTCGCTGTCCACCGATACCAACGTCGACTATTGTCGTAGAGAATCTATTTTTCATTACATGTCACAATCCGGCCAAGAAACGGGTCGTTTTTGTTGCGTAGAAGAAGGGCAGACGCCACCTCAAAACGACGATTTTTCTGATCTTCCCTCAATTCGTGCAGTACCCATTTATCGAACTTTTTTGAGTTGTCGATCCATTTCAAGTGGTCGGAAATGGTCGCAATACCCACATCAAGCTCCTCCGTAAGCTCACGAACAGTTGTGCGCGGGTTTGCCTTCAATTCGTCGTCGTCCCCATCATGTGGCCAACCACTGCGCTCTTCATCTTCAAGGCTCTCGTTACCGCTGCGGAATTTCATGAAAGACCATTGTGCCGTACGTTCCTTAGTGGTTCCTTGGCCAAATGCATCGTTGATATCGCGAGCTGTCTCGGCAGCTTTTCGACCTAATTTGAACTAGAATAAGAAAATGGTGCGAAATTGCCTCTTATCCATCTTATATTTGAGGTCGTGAAAAAAAGAAACAAATTATAGTAAAACAAAACTAGTACAACGACTAGATAGAGCGTAAAACGCGCTTAAAAATTGTATATAAAGTCAAAGTATTATAAATAAATTTTACTGTAAAGCACGTCATATAAATAAATAACAAAAACCGCAAGAACTTTCCGAACAACCTAATAATATTAACTATACAGGGTGTTTTCAAAGTTGAGTCATTTATTTTAACAGCTTGTAGAACTCGTCAAAAGACGTTGATATACCAAAAATCATCTATATAAAAGTTGCATAATGATGGAGTTAGTTTACATTATTGAAAATTATTTAAACAAATCATTATCAAATGGATAACATTTTTTTTCTCATCTCGATCTTCGTTTCCTCAGGCTACACCCGTATCCGTATGTATGGGCATGTGTATCTACTTTTGTAGTTGTATATGTGCATTCATTTCGGGTCTGATGAAGCCAACAAGCAGAAATATGTATCGCTCAGTTTACCTATCCTATTTTCTGCTCGAATCCACTTTCTTTTTTACGGATTTTGCACATTATTTTTATATTTGTTATATACGTTTCTCCGCATGATCCTTTTCTTTTTGTAGATCCTTTGGGCTTAAAGTACCACAGCAGGTCGCTATAACCGGCCGCGTGGTTATGGTTAGATGTCGCCTTCAAAATTCGAGTTCTTCTAGCCATTTTGTACTACAATGTGTAGGTTGGCTCTTGTTGTGGATTTCGTGTGTAATTTTTTTTTCATCTAAATCTTCGTTTCTTCAGGTTACACTCGTATCCGGATGTATGGGCATGTGTATCTACTTTTGTAGTTGCATATGTGCATTCATTTCGGGCCTGATGAAGCCAACCAGCAGAAATACACGTATCGCTTGGGTTACCTATCTGATCTAATCCATTTTCCTTCTTTTTGCGGTTTTTGCACATTATTTATATATATATATATATATATATATATATATATATATATAATTGCCAAAAAAAACATATTACTTTTGTAGGGCTTCTCATAGCCTTAGTACATAGTCCAAAAAATAGTTTATAATTTAATTATTCTACCACATTCACTATATTGTTCAACTATCTTGTTCACTGCCAATAAAGCTGTATTCTCAGAATTACACGCTCTGCAAAATAAAGCTATGAGAATAATATTGAATAAAAATAAGTACACCAAAATAACATATCTATGTTACAAGAATTGCGGTGGTTGAATAACAAAAATTTGGAATCATATTAGGCTCTTATTTTTATATTTTAAATAAAAAATCATCTTTTGCCACATTTAGAACACTACATAGATATGAATAATCATTACCAAAATTATTATACAAGAGGAAACATAGATTTTCATTTACAAAATTGCAATGGCAATATAACTAGCAAATCAATATTTCAGAAAGGATTCTTAGAGATGCAAATTTTGTTTGTCTAAATATCTGTATGTTATGTAATTGTTGTACTTTTTTAAAAGAATGTAATTGTAGCAATCATGCTAAATATATCTTAAGCAGAAAACCATCAGCAAAGTGACAACCAACGCAATCTATCCTGACACTTCTGACGACTTCTCAACTAGAATGTTTGTACATACAGGGCGAATCTTGAATGTGCACTCGGTCCATAGTTCCGATATTTAAAGTACCTAAATGTTGTAGGCAGCTATATGCTCATTACTAGAAACATATGCATCTCTCCGCAGAGTGATTCATATCAACATGACAACACAAACATATATTTTTCAAATGAAGTATCCTTTATATTTAAGTATATTTTAGTTAAGGTAGCGGCTGCATCAGTGATCTCTCCTACAGGCGAGATCTTTTTTTCGGTCACGAAGCGTTAGTGAATTTGCTACTCTTGCTAATCCGTCACTGTTTGGTAAGAAAGAATAGACACTTACAGTTTATTCTAAGCCCACATGAACATTTAAATCCAGTATTCAATAAACAATGTTCACCAGTAAAATTGAACGAATATTTTTTTATTCTTCGCTCATTCTAAAGAAAATCTCTCTAAAGGTGACTGGTGATTTAAGGTATGTGTATAGTTTTCGTTTAGAATGAGTGAAGAATAAGAAAAGGATATTCCATTTGAAAAATGTATGTGTTGTCATTTAATGATAAATCACTTTGTGTAGTCTACAATCTTTATAATTAACCTGTTTAACTATTTAAAATATCGGAAGTACCGACCGCTTACACATTAAAAACTCGCCCTGAATGTAGAAGCATCCTAGGTGAGGAGTCGTCAGAAGTATTAGGTTTGATTGCGTTAGTTGTCACTTTGCTGGTGGTTTGTTCTCGTTTTTCCTCCGAAACAAAGACCCGGAAAGTCTTGTAATTCAATGAATGTTGTGTCTGCCTGATGTTTATAACAGTTTTATACATTGAGAATGCAATGGAGTGAGAACACCGCAGCAGCACAGAATGCATGGCAAAAGTAAATATGTTTTCTATTTATTGTAAATACTTCCGCTAATACATACAAACTTATTAAAAGCTTTTTCATAAAAATATAGTCATCAATACTTCGTCGCTTCTTTTTGGACAAACATATTCCTTTTTATTATTGGTTCACACCAACTACACTAGATCATACCCGAATATTATAATTTTTACGATTGCAAAGAATATTTGCGGCCGCTGGCAGGATCGTCGCAACATCGGCTGCTGCTGAGCACTAAAACATATTTCATCGTTGTGTTAGATGCGACTTTCTCGGCTGAAATGGCGGCCGTTTTTGACACTGACAGGAGAGTTTCATAGCTGTTTGTTATCTACGCTGTGCTTATGCGACCACGCATCAGGATTGTTGCGGCGTCATCGAGAAACATCGGCACCCTTCGAGAAGAATCTACCGCCATCTAGACAAATTCCGCGCATCCCGTATATTGATCTAGAAGACCCGGGAGCGTAGTTCTCGAAATCTGATTGAAGATAAATTAGTTGCAAGCAATTAAGTAGTAAAAAATGTGTTTTTGTTAGAATATGTATAAACAGCCGTGCGATCGACAATGAAGAACTGAAACTAAAACGAAGATTCATCACTAAATTCCTGAATTCTCGGAAGTATATTGCCACACCACGTGATCAAGCGAAACTATTTGGGGACTAGTGACTTCATCATTTTAATCTGTCAATGAAAGTGTGTTTAGTAAGTTATGAAAAATTCCCTAGATATACTTCCATCTCTCCTCAATTCTATAAAAAAAATATTAATTTTTACGCCGCTTTGGAATCATGATTAGTTTGTCCTTTTGTACAAGGACGACATTTTTGGAACAAAAATATAATAAAGGAGATTGGATGGAATAAGTCGTGGAATTTTTCGAAACCAAAGAAAAAAAATGGAAAAGTTTATTACAATCACCATATATCCCCAGGTTTTTAAAATATGCTTAAAGCGATGCTTCAAATTTGAAAGGTAGCATAGGATACTTTACTTATTTGACACACTCTTAATGATTAAGTCTGATTTACCGTATTTTTCACATTAAGGCACTGTTCTCCCTAAAAGCAATCCGATAACAACTCCACTTCAACCCGATTTCAAGGACAGTTGTGCTGCTTTTGCATACTCACCGAAAACAACTGCTGAGCAACAGGCAGCCTCGTTTTTGGTTTGTAGAAAAAGTCGCTAAGCATGTAATTACTAGTAAGAATGTGCAATACATATTATTTTTATTCCTGAAATCTTTATTGGAAAAAAATCATATAGGAAACGCATTTGACAAATAAAATCTAGCCAGATCAATCAAAAATATATATATATAGAGAGAGAGAAAATGATCATGCGGAAAAAGGTATATAACAAAAAAAGGAAAATAATGGGCAAAATCCGGAAAAATAAGTGTATTGGAGCAGAAAATAGGATAGGCAACCCGAGCGATACGTAGTTCTGCGGGTTGGCTTCATCAGGCCCGAAACGAATGCACATATGCAACTACAAAGGTAGAAGATACACATGGCCATACATCCGGATACGGGTGTAACCTGAGGAAACGAAGATGGAGAGGGAAAAAATCACACACGAAGTCCACAACAAGAGCCAACCTACACATTGTAGTATAAAATGGCTAGAAGACCTCGGATTTTCAAGGCGACATCTAACCACAACCACGCGGCCGGTTATAGCCACTTGCTGTCGTACTTCAAGCCCAAAGGATCTACAAAGAGAAAATGATCATGCGGAGAAAGGTATATAACAAAAAATAGGAAAATAATGGGCAAAATCCGCAAAAATAAGGAAAGTGAATTCGAGATGTCGCCTTGAAAATTCGAGGTCGTCTAGCCATTTTATACTACAATGTGTAGGTTGGCTGTTGTTGTGGGCTTCGTGTGTGATTTTTTTCCCTCTCTAACTTCGTTTCCTCAGGTTATACCCGTATCCGGATGTATGGGGATGTGTATCTATTTTTGTAATTGTATATGTGCATTCATTTCAGGCCTGATGAAGCCAACTAGGAGAAATACGTATCGCTCGGGTTACCTATCCTACTTTCTGCTCGAATCCACTTTCCTTATTTTTGCGGATTTTGCCCATTATTTTCCTATTATATACATATATATATATATATCATATTTTTTCCCAATATAAAACAAATATAATGTGTAATGAACACTCACAGAAAATAACACCATGTAAGCAAGTACGAGTATACTACTTAAGTTTGATGTTCAATCGTTCAATATTAACACTTCTTGCATCAACTGTAGCTTTCCTGGAAGGTATTCAGTGGTGCTGCCTCAACTAAGTCAATTCAAAGAACACCAAAACGCGATTGAAGAAGTGCTTTTATCGGAATTTCCACATGACATCCTTCAACTTCAAAGTGACTAGCAATGGCAGTGCCAGCAACCAATGAACAACAATGTATCGAGTCAGGTTGCCGGCTATTACATAAAAAAAAACAGATAATGTCAAGAAAGCCCATAAAATGTCAACTTGTTGACTAAATAGGCTAGTGTGCAAATTACGCATCCCGCGCTTGCTACAAGTGAGCATGAAGTGAACGACAGCTAGTTCCAAGTTGACGAATTTTTTTGGGAAAGCCATACATAGTGTCTTAAAAAACGGATGTGTCAAAAAAAAACGACATATTGTCATTTTTCAAGTTACGTAATACCCCTGCCGGTTGCCAGTAGCTTTGGGTGAGAATGGTCTATACAATATTTTTGGTAAGATACAAAGTGATTGTCTCCATTGAGCCCTTATCTCTCATATGCCCAAAGTTTTTGTTTATATATTGAAAAATAAATGAGTTACGGTGAAAGTATTCTTGTATGTTTAAAAAGGCCTTAAGCGAATTTGTTACGTGAACATAAATAACTATAATCTAAACTAGATAAAAACTGAAGCAATTTTGAATATGATGCGATTTTAATTAGATAAACTATCTTTAGCCGCATTTAGTTTATTCAGGTTGATAGCCTGGATGCGCATATTAAAAGGCATGTTAACATGCTTGCTTCCACCTTGAACTTTATGTATTTATAGCAGATACTCGATGGGTTGTATAAAATATTCGTAAGACGGATAATTTTCCATTGTATTCAACGAATTCAGACTAGATAGAAGGAGCCAATCAATGATATGTTTGCCTCTTAATTCTCATAGTCTGTAGTGTGCACTTGACATGTCAATTTTTTGACAGTACCGTCTTTAAATACCTATTTTTACTGTTATTTTAAAAAATAAATGCGAGTGTTTGCATGTAATTGTGGTGTTAAATTATTTCAAGGCATGGTACTTCTTACATAATTTGCAACGAGCGCGACAAGAATAATGAAGGTAGATGTTTCCAATGGTATTATTATTATTATTATTATTATTATTATTATGTTGATACAAGACTGTCACTTTGGTAGGCATTGATAGACAACTGAGACAAAAATATGTACTAAAACTACGCAAATTTGGCGACAAACAATGCAATGTAAACAAGTAGGCTTGACTCCTAACCTATTCGAATTCGGTGATTCTATTATATATTTGAATAGTTATATTTTGAATGAATAAATCTTACCTGATCGTCTTCTTGTCTGTGGACTTATTCTCAGGTCGCGCCCTGTTCAGAACCTTCAAGAAGTCGGACGTCTTTGCGCGCATTCGGCTATGAATGTAGGCCTTGGAACACTTGATGTGGTAGTGCAAATAGTGTCGGAACATGTGGATCAGGTTTATTGTATTATCACGGGTATTACGAGCCGTATGTCTGGAAGAAGTTTTCAATTCAGTTTAAACCTAGCGCTTTATTGACTTCCGATCTAAAAACTCTAAGGGCTGGTCCAGGGAAAGGAGGCGCGTCATGCAACAGTAGATGCAGCAACTACCGCCGCAGTACACAATATAACTAGAGAAATTTATTATTTTGTAGATCTCAGCACGTCCTAAAGTTTTACAGGCCCTATAGTTATACATATATTACAGCGTGTTGTGGGTTCGGTAAACGATAAGTAATAGTGGTTTGATATTTATTTATTTTCTCATCATTCCTACTGGCTGGTTCACAAACATAGTAATTCTATCAAATGCACAGGGTGGCCCAAACGTACATGAATGAAGTGCCGAGATACAAAAATGTTCAGAAACTGTTCAGAATTATTTTGCATCATAGATCAATATTGTTTTTGTACATATAAATATTATTTATTATGAATTTAAATAGACGTAAATACTGCATTATGTCGAGTGTATATATATATATATATATATATATATATATATATATATATATATCTATACATATATATATATATATATATATATCTTGTTGTAGACTTCGTGTGTGATTTTTTTCCTCTCCATCTTCGTTTCCTCAGGTTACACCCGTATCCGGATGTGTGGGCATGTGTATCTACTTTTGTAGTTACATATGTGCATTCATTTCGGGCCTGATGAAGCCAAACAGCAGAAATACGTATCGCTCGGGTTGCCTATCCTATTTTCTGCTCGAATCCACTTTCCTTCTTTTTGCGGGTTTATTTTCCTATTTTGTTATATAGCTTTCTCCGCATGATCATTTTCTCTTTCTAGATCCTTTGGGGGCTTGAAGTACTACAGCAAGTGGCTATAACCGGCCGCGTGGTTGTGGTTAGATGTAGCCTTGAAAATTCGAGGTCTTCTAGCCATTTTATACCTCAATGTGTAGGTTGGCTCTTGTTGTGGACTTCGTGTGTGATTTTTTTTCCTCTTCATCTTCGTTTCCTCAGGTTACACCCGTATCCGGATGTGTGGGCATGTGTATCTACACTTTTGTAGCTTCATATGTGCATTCATTTCGAGCCTGATGAAGCCATCCAGCAGAAATACGTATCGCTCGGGTTACCTATCCTATTTTCTGCTCGAATCCACTTTTCTTCTTTTTTTGTTATATATATATATATATATATATATATATATATATATATATATATAAAATTCCATAGCAGGCAATGCCTGTGTATGGGTTATTACAATTATTTAAAACATTGTATGAATACATGTGCAATATTTGAAATAATACAGTGTCCAGTTAAAAATAATTTGGAACGAGGTTAGTATTTTACCTACATGAATTTTTCATTTAATGTATATTTCTAGAATATTGGTATTAGAACCATTTAACCAAATCGTCAATTGAAAGATAATATGTTATGTACTTATTTGATAATCAAAGGTACGATATATTATATAGCGTTGAAGCTAGATATGGGTTTGGTCTTTGAATTATACTTTTGAGTGGCTTGGGAACCTACTTAGATATTGAACTGTGCTGCTACTTTCTAAGTTATAGACGGGCCAACGACTATCGGGCAGATTGACATACAAACCGACGAAATGTCATATCGGGTTTTCCAATATAGACTTGACAACTTTGAACTTTCACTGTGAACGCACCTGTAAATCAATTACCGAACTGTCAATGTCAAAACATTCAATAAAGAAAACATTTTCATCATGGTAAAGTACAGGAACGAGTGGGTGGCTGCAACTTTAAGAGCGTTAACGCCAATTTTTGGTCACAATTCTCGTTCCAGTAGACAAGCAATTCATAGTCTAGTAAAAAAAAATGAGTCCACATATTCACTGCTGGATGTTCCAGTGCTAGTGAGATAACGGGTTGGTCGAAGTGCAGAGAATACTGCTAATGTTCAAGCTTCCGTCTCAAACGAACAGAACATGTCGATTCTACAGCGTTCTCAAAAATTGGGCACCGCTCAGACCACACTATGGCGAATTTTGCGAAGAGACATTGGCCTAGATCCTTATAAGTTCGAGTTAACTCAAGAACTAAAGCCGTTCGATCATATGAACCGACGTACGTTCTCGAATTGGGCTCTAGAAATATTGCAAGAAAATGACCAATTTCAAAAAATCTCATCTTCAGTGATAAGGCGCATTTTTGGCTAAACGGCTTCGTCAACAAACAGAATATGCGTTAATGGTCAGGTGAAAACCCTCATGTGCTTCAAGAAACACCGCTTCCGTCACTGGGCCGTTTTTTTTTTCATTGATGAAAATGACCGTCAGAATAATCCTGAACGATTTTTTGTTTGTGTTTCGGAGTTTAGACTACATATGACAGAGTTGCAATCTTATTGAACCGGTCAGTAAGTATACTGTACCGAAACCATAATATGCTGTGAAATAGGGTTACTGCCCAACTTGGAGGCCCTGTATTTCGGGAACTATTCGTGGAAAATCTTTGAGCCCAGGGACACTTTTGCTCTATGGGTTGAGATCTACAACGCCCTAATTTAAAAAAAAATGCAGAAAGCCATTCCCTAAAAGATTTCTGTGGGTTCTTTCGTAACATAATTTTCGCTCAAAATGTAGTTGAATAATAATCGATAAATAATAAAATAATAGGTGAATCATAATCGATAAATGTAACATAATTTCATTACAGAAGAACTCCCAGAAGTGGAAGCTGTGGCATCTACCACGGCTAAATGTGCACCACGTCTCCCTGAGCCGTATTTGCAATGTAACTAGAATAATTTTCTACAATTATTCATTCATACACTACACATTACTCCGAACGATTCCTTTTTTCTCGTTCATGGATAGCTTTTAATTATGGATGCAGCAAATTAGCCATGACGTAGAGATCGTGAACGGGGACGTTGACGTAGCAACCATGATGTCGAGCCAAAGCGTCGTCTTGTTCGTTATACAAATCTCGTATCCATAGCAACCGCCCTAATATTGCTATTAGACGAACGTATTTTGATCATGCCTAATTTGACGCAATCTTAACAAAAGCCTATTCATAAATGTGGATTGTAGAATCATTACGAGTAATTACAATGTATACAAGTCTCATTTACGCAACGTTGAAACACCGGCGCGCGACATTCAAATGCACGCACTTTTTTGGCAAGCGGGCCATTAATGCCTGGGGCAGGCAGCAACAGCAGAATAGAAGTGATCGAAATCGACAGTTTGTTTTGACGCGAAGTAAATGAGATCTGAATAGACTGTATAGTGTTTGTTTAGATATTGCATCACTCCAAAATTGGCAGCACTGGAGCTGGTGTGGATGGTTCTATCGAAATAGAGCACCTGAAAAATGTTGGTTTTATGCACACTATTTGTAACGCCAGACAACGTAACTCAAGAAAGTTTAACAATGTCAAGTGTCACGCGACACACATCGCGTGCATTAATGAGCGCTAACATCGCATTCATCCCTCTACCGCGGACACATGGGTGTGATTGTCGTTCGAATCATCAGTATTACAGGAACTCCATTTGACTGATAAACGGGCATTAGCTTGTCGATAAAAGCCGTTTTTAGCATTCGTATGTCACTAAGATAAAGTAATAGTAAGGGCTCACCTAGGAAAAAGAACAAAAGTAACATATCCTACGTTGTTATCCACCGTCGCGTTGGTATCCCTTAGTTCGATGGGTGGCTCACGATGGCTGAAGAGAACAGGCGGAGCAGTATGAGAGGCTCGCAGGCCTTCACGAAACTCTTGCATGAACACCTTGCCGATCACAACGTCATCCTCGTCTCGGAAACGGGTAGAGAATACTACAGTTACTCGATCGGATTTTGCTTCAACATACCTGAAAAAGCATTTTATTTTGGCATTATTTCAGATTATATTATATTCTTTCATGTTGGATCAGGCCAAAATAAAAAAGCGACTGCTATAAAGAATTTGAAGGGATCTTATTGATTAGTCTCTTTTTAGCTGTAGTAAGTTAGTGAAACCAAGGGATGCCTCTTCTGACACTGTAAAAATGTTCCACTGTGCGCAAGAAGGTAGAAACTGAACTATCAGCACCTACCAATGGTTCGCCAAGCTAATTTTCATCCTCATCGCGTACGATGAAGACGATAGAGAGTCCCTTACATTCCCTAACCCATAACCGCTGAACGTTCTGCGGTAAGAATAGAGATATTGTACCACACCATCAGGGCCGACTCTGAACCGCATCTAAAATACCCAAGACAAATTGGCAGAAACACGGAGCAAGCCAACGATTTGTTTGTAACCAAAATTACGTAGTCAAGATTCAAGTTCATACTGCAAGTCGATCAAGCTTAAGGTACCAATTTGTCAGTTGTTGAATTACATTCGTACTTTTCTGCGAAAACGTAAAAGTGCATATGTTCCAAACAATCCTAGTGTACCAGAAAGTTGCCGAAAATGGTCAAGGTTTTTGTGGATTGCAAAAAGCAGTTTAAATTGAATAAGAGCAAATGTTTTTATCTATATCTATATATTAGCCATCAGCGTTGCGAAACGGCATGTACGTCCTTTGAGCTTTTACCTAGATAGTGAGGTAATTTTGAATCGTTTCACTTCTTGTTCCTTGAGCACACTGTCCCAAACTAAGGTTAGTTAACGGAATTGTATACCAAACAACAAGATTGAAAAATGCAAAATATTGTAGACAATCTAAAGGTTCTTGAGAGATGAGACGTTTTGCGTTATAAATAGTAATAAATAATTTTACAATCTCAGTTTAGTGTCATGTGATTCTATGGAAGAAGCTCAGTATGCCCAAAAAATCTATTAATACCATATTCATTAAAATACTTCCAAATGTTTTTATTGCATAAATATAGTAACAATGATATAATAGGAAGAATTTCCATATGACGCCCAGCTAGGAATTTGCTTTTAGGCAAGAATCTGCTCGAATCACGACACCTATTAGTAAAAAAACGAGCAGAATCCATGAAAGGTGTCCCTATATTTCCAATATCAGATATTCCGCATCGTTAGTGCTTGCTGGAGCGAATGTTTCATATTACTTTTTAAAATCACAATTTAAGCAGAATACGGGCATATGGCAAATCTCTGCAAACAAGAGCAATTTACATTTCCACTATGCGCCGGCAATCATACGGCAGATCAATGTACAAGCAGTAATAAACGCTGTAGCAACTGTGAATATATAAGCAATGTCTTAAAGATAAAAAATATAGAATATAATCGTACTGTTTTTTATCAAAATTGTACTTCATATCGGAAAAGACCAGGCTTAAAACAAAATATGAATAGCAATCAACGTATGTTCAAAAAATTTGTTTGTTCAAAAAGGAAAAGGGCCTAAGACGAAAAGTTGATGAATTGAAACAGCTGGTACTGGATAAAAATCCTCTTATATTATGTGTTAGTAAAACCCATATTAAGGATGACTTTGAGCATAGCGAGCTGAATATTAATGTCTATACACAGTACATTGCCCATGCTGAAAGTTGTCATACAGGGGGGACGATAATTTATGTAAAAAACAATATTACTTGTACAGTTGTAAAGAATGTCGTACGTCACGGTCATTTTTGGTTCTTGAGCTTAAATGTTCAGCTGGGATTGGAAAATATAATTGTTGGATCATTTAATTACAACTCATCAAAATATTTTTTGGGAGATTTTAATATTAGCTTACAGACCGAGAGAACCCAAGCCAAAAAAAAATGAATAAATATCGCATCAGATGCAGGATTTACACAGATAGTTCAAGAGTGCACTAGAGTGACAAATACGTCAGCCACCCTGATTGATTTAATTGTGACTAACAATTACTTGCTTTAAGAAATCACGGGTGATTTTCCACAAATTTCAGATCATCGAACTATAGGCTAGGTATTGGATGTGCAACATGAGGTTAAAACAGACGAAATGAAGTACTCGTATAAACGGAAATTTAATGAGGAAAATATTAACACTATTATAGATGAACTCTACGAAACAAAATGGGACTATTTATCAACAGATGTGGACCTGTTATATGAAAAGTTTATGACAAATATTACAGAAACTTCAAATAAAGTAGTACCTCTTGAAAAAACTCAAACCCGCAAACAACCGTGGATTAATAGGTTCGTAATCCAAGCCCGAAGAGACAGGGGCGAAGCTTATAAAAAGTTTAAAATAACCAAATTAAATTCAGACTGGATACTGTATAAGAAAAAAAGAACATTTACGCTCGTGTTATTCGAAAAGAAAAGAATAAATATTATGAAATTACTATTCACCAATGCAAGGCGACAGCAAAAAAATGTGGCAAACTTTAAAGCAAGTTGTAGGCAGCAAAAACAAGAATGTTCTCTCATATGATAATATTGAATTTGAGGAAGCTGCTGGTTCTGTTCAGGAAAATTTTAACAATTTTTATGCAAAAAGCATAAATGAAATACAAAAATACCAAAAATAGCACCAAAATTTCTAGAATTGCCACAGTTAAGTGATGGTCTGTCAAGCTTCAACACTATAAGAATTGATCAATTTAGAAAAAGGGTAATGGAACTTGAAAACGGCTGTTTGTGTATTCGGATACCCTTTTCTTCACTTGATCAATTTATCCCTTACAATAGGCCAAGTTCCAAAAGCAATAAAAACTAGTGTTATAGTGCCTATTAGAAAAGTGCCCAGACCAAATAAACCAGCTGAATACCGACCCATTAATTTTTTATCAGTGATAGACAAAATCGTGGAAACTGTGGTTTGTACGCAGTTACGGTTGTTTAAGGGACAGTCGGGATTTCTGGAAAAACACTCGTGCGAGTCGGCGCTACAGTATGTCTGTTCGAAATGGCCTTCATACATTCATAATGGGAATATTGTGTTAAGTGTATTCATCGACCTTCAACGTGCATTTGAGACTATTGATAGAAAAAGACTGATCCAGAAATTGCAGACCTATGTCTGTAAGACAGTGCACTAAAATGGTTTATGAACTACTTGAAAGACCGTTGTCATGTGACGAAGATTAATAACGTGGCGTCAAATGCAATTTATAGTCAAATAGGGGTACCACAGGGTAGTGTGTTGGGCCTGCTTTTGTTCCTACTTTATATAAATGACTTAAACAGGGTTGTAGTAGATACATTTTGTGTGTACGGTAAGGATTTTAGACAAGTAGTAGATACTATGAACTCAATACTGGAAATTCTGTATAACTGGTTATGTGTCAAGATAGATAATACTCAAATTGATAATGCATCTAGTATGAAGTATTAGGGCGTAGTTTTAGATCCTCAGCTTAATTTTTAATTGCATGTTGTTTATGATAGTAAAAAAATTAGGAAAAAAAATAGGATTTTTTAGGAGAATATCTGAAAATCTTAGTCACTGGAGTCGTCTTCTTGTATATAATACCATTATGAAGAGAAAATTTTGCTATTTTTTGTTAATACCATTATATATCCAGATTTTAATTATTGTTTTTCACTGTTGCTATCATGCAAAACAACTGATATTCAAACGCTCCAGTTACTAGAAAATAAGGCTATGCGCGCTATATTATTTTGTACACGTTATACGCCTATTAATTTAATGTTAAAAACCCTCGGATGGCTTTCAATATTGCAAAAGATTGGAATTTCAAATGTCTATTTATTTTTAAAACCAAAAATCAATTATTGCCTTAATACTTGCAGGAATATCTAATACCGAGATCCGAGAGGCATGCATATAATATCAGATCACGTAATACTTTTGACATAGAATTCGCTAGAACATCACATATGCAAAAATGCCTTTTTAGTGATGGTTTGAGACTTTTTAAAGCATTACCTACAGAAATTACAGAAGCGACGTCTGTAAATATATTTATTCGTAAGGTTAAGCAATTGTATCTAGATAAAATGGCATAATCTATGTACTTTCTGTGTGATAACCGTATGATATCTCGCATTTGCTATGGTTGCATTTACTGTGGTTGTATTTACTATGATTTTAGAGGAATTTAGAATTACTGATTTTAGTTTTATACTTGAGTAAGACACTATTATTAACTATAGGAAGTAGCTTTTGGGCTAAGAATAATAAAAATTTCATTTTCATTGTTCAAATGCTATACCATTAATAAATATTTACTTTCGTTTCTTTGCCTTATATAATTTGTCCTTGTTTATTACCACTATCTGAACGATTCACATCGCAACACATGGTATTTCTGCCTTGCTTTATATGAACATACTCAGTATAAAAGGGCACTTGAAAATCTTTTCCATAAAAAATAATGTTCGCCGAATGTTCTGATCTATTTGAATTCGTTGGTTCAAATTGCTGGAGTAGCTGTTCCATGGATACATCAATATCTTTTACGAAAAGCTGTGTAGTAGAAACATAGGAAATCAAAACACATGTGTTTAGATTTCAGTTTATTTATTGTACTACGTTTTTACCATCACTGTGGTCTTTTTCTAGTACAATTGACATATATGACAATATATTTTGTTTTCTGCCTTCCAGGTGACATTTCATTTTTAGTTCCTTTGGCAGAGTATTTCCAAAGTGTTTATGTTATAGATAATAACCTCACTGTGTAAATTACCAAACAAGTTAACAGCAGAAGATATGGTACAGTAACTTTTCCTACAAAATGGAAACTGGCTAGAGTGTGCCCTATTTTTAAAGCTGGGGACCCTAGTAAAATCGAAAATTACCAAGCTATATCTATATTGGATAATTTTGGTAAGGCATTTGAGATATCTGTATACAACTACATCTATCCTTTGACCTCGCATCTGATATCTGAAACGCAACATGGATTTATGCGCAATCGCTCTACTATTTCTAACTTCTAACTGAAATCACCCAGGAAATTGCAGAGATCTTAGATAATAGGGGTCAGATGGATGTCGTCTATATGGATTTCTCAAAGGCCTTCGATAAGATTAGTCACCAAAGAATCATAGGTAAACTTCAGCATTTTGGTTTTAGCAATCATTTATTAGATTTTATTTCTTCTTACTTGCATGATAGAAATCAGTACGTTTCTTACAATGGTTTCAAATTTTCACCATACTCGGCCTCATCCGGTGACCGCAGGGATCAAATTTAGGCCCGCTTCTCTTTCTTTATTTTATCAATGACGTCCCTAACTGCTTAACCTGTCCTTCTCTGTTGTTTGCCGATGATTTAAAAATATATGCTCAGATTAACAGCATTGACGACTGTCTAATCTTGCAAGCTGACCTGAATCATATATTTGAATGGTGGTCAACTAAAAAATTATTTTTGAATGTTGGCAAATGCCAAACCTGTTCTTTTACCAGGAAAACGAATCCAATAATTTTTGATTACACACTGGAAGGTGTCAGTTTGATGCGTTGTTCAGAAGTAAGAGATCTAGGTGTGTTGATTGATGTTAAATTAGAATTTACAGGTAATATTAGTACAATAGTATCATCCGCTATAAAAAATCTCGGTTTTTTGATAAGAACTGTAAATCGTTTGGTAGTGAAACGGCACTGAAGCCTTTATACTGCACCTTGGTGCGTTCTAAGCTGGAATATGCATCTATTGTATGGCATCCATATTACCAAATCTATACTAACGAAATTGAAAGTGTACAGAGGAGATTTCTTGAATACTTGACTTTCAAGTTAGATGGTGTTTATCCCCAATCAGCGATGTTGCTCAGATTTGAAATGGATCCTATTGAGCTGAGAAGAGTTTGTAATAGTTTAAAATTCCTTTACAAACTCGTACACAGTGATGTTGATTCTTCAGCTTTATTAGCTAAAATTGATTTTTATGTACCGTCCCGCATTTCCCGAAGAGTTATCGCTTTTTACTTAAAAACACCAAATTCTAATGTTATGATTTAGTCACCCATGTACTTTATGTGCTCCAGCTTTAACACCATAGCTGATAATTGTGACATTCATCATGATAAAGTCAAAGATATATTAGCTGTATTCAGCGACTACTATTATTCAATTTATAACATTTAAGACATGTAGGTGTAGCTATTCATTTTTTTTTTTTTTTCAGGAGCTGGACGAGCTGTGATTGTAGTTAAAAATACTGTAACGTCAAATTGTATTCAATTACATTGTCCTTTAAATGGATGTATCTGTTGGGCAATAAATATATTATTATTATTATCAATGATATATCTTTAATTCTCCAGTAATCAACACTGAATTATATACATACTTGAACTAAATATATCTTAAGCTAGGGTTAAGTTCTAGATTCCTTATTTTATAATTTCAAATGGCATGTTACTCAAAAAACTATGAGTGGAATTAAAAAAATGTCCAAAAGAGAATTTATTTGACATAACCAAGAATCCAAGGTTTATCTATCCATTATAACAAGTTTGCACTCTTAGAATCATTAAATTGGAATATACTGTAGTGTGCAATTTTATTTTAGTTCTATCAATTACAACATCTAGTTGTAAACATTTTCCTCGATAAAGTTAGTAAACTTACATAGTTTCATCATCCCTATAAGGAATAACAGCCCTCTTCTGTCCCTCATCTCCCCGTTCTTGGAAATCGAAGTATTTCTCAAATACTGATGCAAAACAGTTCCTTTTGAGTAGACCCAGCTTCTTGACATACTCCTGCCAGTTTTCAGGAATATTTTCTAAATCTAATAACACAGAAACATTATACCCAGGCTCTGGTGCTACTAAATAAGGTCCATATTCTCTTTTGAGCAGCTCATCTGCTCCATGCTCTTGAAGCTGTTTGTAGAATTTTAATGAAATACTTGTCTGAAAAAAAGGTTTTGCAAAAATGATGTCACCAACAAGTCATCTTAGGTAGAGACAATTTATACATAAATAACTTTATTTTAACTTTAAAATGTGTCAAATGATAATTAGGTAATGCCTCAAATGCATATAAAACAAATGCTATATATAAGTTCCTATAAAAAATGAGCTGTAAAAATATATCCAGACTTTTTTTAGGTTATTGATTAGGAATCTATCATCAAAATTACTATACTTTTAAAACTGAAAAACCATTATACTGGAACCAATATTAAAATTGGTAGAGCCATAGTGAAGCAAGAGTTTTGTTCATAAACAGATCATTTTATCAATGTCAATCAAGAGAATATCTTTTTCCAGGTGCAGAAAATATAAGTGTTCCAATTAGTCCAACATTATCCAAACGAGTTAATTGTTTTTTCGAGATATAACATATGAGGTCCTTATAGCTGTGGAGTGGTAAAGGTTTATGAATAAAAATTTGAGGTAGCATTCTTTAGGATATTATATTTCCATAAGGAACCCCCATAAGATGTTAACATAACATCTGAAACTCATCCTGTGGTTTTTAAGCTGATAATTTCATTTTCTGGCTATTTAATATAAATCACACATCATCAAAAATCTTGTCTCAGGTTTATCTTTGGAGTTTTGGAAATTTGAACCTGTTTCCTACAAGTTATCTGAAGCAGGCTGGTTAAACATGCAGGCAAGCAGAAACCTGCAGGAAGTACTCAGCCATACTTATATAATAAAATTACATTCAGTTCCATTCCACATCATACTGCAATGTTCAGTAGATCATTTTCACACTCTGTTTATCGCTTGTACAACCATGTTTCCACAGACTTGTAAGTCCATGCCAGTGTCAGTATGCAAAAAAAAATTCTTTTAGAGCAACAATAGTTGAGTCTCTCCTGTGTTGTCCATCTCATCTTGGTATGAGTGTTAAGTTGAAGTTTAATTATAGAAACATTGTGCTTTAATTTTTTTCTAGAGCTCTTTTTTTAGGAATGAATTGGTTAAAATTGTATTATCCATAGACAGCTATAAAAATGCTGTTTTGTTTTGTCAGTGGGCCAGTACTTTGATCAGTCCTAGACTGTTTTTTGCTTGTCCATTTTGCAGTAAGTCTAATTTGTTGTTTTTCCCCCATTTTGTATTCTATGCATATGTAATTTTTCGACTGCAAATAAACGCTATCATTATTATTATTTTACTGTTACCTGGCACCTAAGTGGCCTCTTTCGAAGTTCAATCCGAAAAATGACAGTAACAATATTGTTTATATTTATCTTTATCTGTCTTCCAGGTGATAGTTCATCTGTTTTTACAGCTATTATACAGTATGTTGTAACAACAGCCTAAACAGTCTTGTACCTTGCCATAAAAACTCAAGCTAACATAAGGATGTGGTTTCAGTACAAACCAGAAAACAAGGAGGATTAACCATAGAAAATTTATTTATAGGAACCTTGGCATTATTTGTTGTGTTAATTTGCACCTGTAAAATTGCCTTCATATTCTTGGTCACCCAATATACCTGCTTCATTACAGAATCAATAAAAATAATAGTTGTAAAATCTCTGTTTTGAACACATTTAATCATTTCCTTCAAAAACATACTAATTCACTTTATGTGAAGAGTGTAACCACTTTTATAAGAATAATGTAACCACAATTCATTACTTATGCTGGGTTCATGCAAACCTCAGTTTAATGTAACTTAGGCAGAACCAATAAGGTATGACCTACACATAATTAATGCTCCTTTTTTAAGGACTTATAATACAAGTCACACCTTATTGGTTCTGAATTTTGTTCAATGTTAGATTAAGGTTTGCATAAATCCAGGATTTAACTTTGATCCAAAGCTGCAATATAGTTTCAACTCACCCTAATTTTTGTTTTATCGCCGTTAATGTTCGATATATGATACAGGACTCCGTCAAAATCTGCTACAGTTATATCTATGCTTTCGTTTTTTAATCTGCAACACAAAAAACAGCCTTTTCAAAACATTACTCATTTGCCTCCTTTTGTATTTTATGAGTCACGTTTCAATCTGTACAGTGCTATGGCAGAGGCAGAGGAATATAATTCGGATACAGTAAAGGCGGCGAGTATTTATTTATCAGTTTCTGAGGAAGTTAAAAGTCTAATCTGTATTTTTATCTCAGCAAATATAAATTTGGAACTTATTGTAAATTAAAATTTTATCACAGGATACTCACTTAGCTTGTGCATTTTTTATTTTAACTGTTAAGGTCTCCTCAACTACCCTGTTGTTAATTTCCAGCAGTATCATTTTTACTACTTGATAAATTATTTTAAAAGCTAAAAAGTGTAGTTGTTAAAACTGGATCATACATGGGAGGTGCAGAAATTCTTTCAACTGTCATTTTTGTTTTGTCATGACAGTGCCTCGTTTGTTTAAACCGGTCCCACACGATGCGGCGAATGCCTTACAACGTTGGACACATGGCCAGTCGCCACATCGTGCGGGAGAGCGCATGTGTTCAATGTTCGCCACATGGCACGTTCTGGCTCTTGTCGGTTCTCGGTAAATTTGATCCGCGTCACACGTCGTTACAATGTTGGAAGCAGTAGCGGCGAAAAACATTATTTACTTGTTTGCTGTGACTGTGGCGAAGTAGTGGTATGTGGGAAGTATTTTGATTTGAATACCTACCTATTCATAATAATGTATGCTCCGTAACTAACTTTTGAGGAGAATGAATTAAAATAGTAAACATACAAAGCATAGGCTGCCACTTTTTTCATGTTGCTAATATTTTGTACGTTTCGCAGGTGAGTTATGGCTGGGCTGCAGTGTTGCCAGAGCCCACGTTGAAAATTCCGCTACTGATATCGAAAAACTCCGCTACCCCGGGAGATTATCGTCGGTGGATGGGGGTTGCGCATTTATTATACAGGTTGTGTCAAAAAAGAAAAACAAAAACCAAACAGCGTGATAAAATATAAATTAAGAAGCTGCAATAAAAAAAACATTAACTATAAAAACCAATACAATATTACAAATAACTGTCAAACAACAGAACATTTATCACGCAGTTTAAAAAAATATCACAGGAAACAAAAAAATAAAAGGCATATGACTAAAGGCCATTTCTGTTTTGCATAAAAAAATTGAAGTTTATGAGTTACTTAAACTTAGTCACTGTCATGTATCAGATTCTTCTTGTTGCATTTCTGTTCTCTCTATACTATATAAATTATTTTTAAAATGTTTTTCACCAAACTCGAAGTCTAAGCAGCAACATTTTTATGAATTGTAACCAGTTTGATAAGTATCGCGCACAAAGTTGAAGGTAAAATACGATTCCTTTTCTGTTTTGATTATCTCCATATATGAGAATGTCCACTCGACATCTGCATTACCATGTGAAAAATGTTAAAATTACGTAGTCATGCCATAAGTTCTGTCCCTCGTTTTCAAACAAGTGTAGACCTGTTAATACTTGTCCGATTGTTTACATTGTGGTGTCAGTTGATTAAGCGCTTTTCGGGTAATTATATATACCTCAGTTTGTATTGATCTCTCGAAGCATAACGATGGAGTGGGGCAAGGCAGAGAACCGTATTGCAGTGATAGCTTTACATAAGTGTAATCACAGTGCTAGTCAGATTTTTGAACTCTTACGCGGCCTTCAAATATCGCGTAAATTTGTGTCTAGGACCATTCAGCGGTACAATGAGACGTCCTCTGTTGATGACAGGCCAAGAAGCGGAAGACCTCGTCAAGTAAGGACTCCAGCAGCCATCAAAGCCGTAAAAGCCTGGATTCAAAGGAATCCACTCCGGAAGCAGAAGATCCTATCCAGGGAAATGAAGATTCCTGTCCGGACGATGTCGCGCATCATTAAGCAAGACCTAGGGCTAGGGGCTTACCGGAGACGTACGGGCCAGCGACTTACGGCCACCTTGCGACACATCAGGGCGACAAGATCCAAGAAGCTCTTGGAGAGGTACGCAGCTGGGGGATTCCGAAAGATTTTGTTCACGGATGAGAAAATCTTCACCATAGAAGAAAAATTCAACCGACAAAATGACAAAGTGTATGCAAGGAGTTCACAGGAAGCTTCGGAGATCATTCCGAGAGTTGAGAGAGGCCACCACCCTGCGTCAGTCATGGTTTGGTGGGGGGTGTCCTACGAAGGGGTCACTCAGCTCCATTTCTGTAAACAGGGCGTGAAAACAAAAGCGGCAAACTATCAGAGCGACATACTGGATCCTATCGTCAAGCCTTTAAGTGGTACATTGTTTGCCAACCAACACTGGGTCTACCAGCAGGATTCCGCCCCCGCTCACAAGGCTAAGAGTACGCAGCGCTGGCTGGAAAGCAATGTGCCAGAGTTCATTGCTGCGGAAGATTGGCCCTCAGGGAGTCCGGACCTCAATCCTTTAGACTACAAGTTGTGGGACCTGCTAGAGCAGTTGGCCTGCTCCAAAGCCCACCGTAATATCGAGTCCCTGAAAGCGGATTTGATCCGATCAGCGGCAGCTATTCCTTTGGAAGCTGTGCGTGCAGTGATAGATGAGTGGCCCGCGAGATTGAAGCAGTGTGTGAAGGCCAAGGGGGGACATTTTGAATAAAACTGTTTGATTATGAATTCTAAAAATGTTGTCGAATAAATAATATCTTTCATATAAATATATCTTATCTTGTTTCATTTTTATCATGAGATTATCATGGGACAGAACTTATGGCACGACTACGTATTAGACATACTTTGGAAATACACTTTACAGGTTGTGTTCTTACCACCTACTACCATGTATACGTGTCTCCGTTGAATAAGAATTACCGACCGGTTGTTACCACTGCCGATTGGAAAGATATCTGTATTTAGATTTAGTTACTAACTGCACTCAATTTTTTTTTTTGGTAAAAATATCCATCATGTGTATGAAGTATATCTGAAGTCACTTGAAATAGCATAAAAACCTTTGGTCGGCGCGTCCTTTGTAATTTCATGACGTATCATAGGCGTGCGGTGATTTATTTAGAACGATAATAATAATGTTTTTATATCACAATAAATGGATTTTACTATCTTCTTATTTTTTTGATTTGGGATAAAAAATACTTATATTGGGAGTTTAATTTATGTTGACTGAAAGTTAAGAAATGGAAAAATTACAGAATTCCAACGTTTGACATAGGCAAATATTTACATAGCAGGTAGGTATATAAAAAGGTATATAAAGACTTACATTATAGGTATATATATATATATATATATATATATATATCATCCTCGCCTTCGAAGCTGTCGCTAGAGTCATCTTGTAGAGGAATTACAACGGGATTTACAGGAGGCAAAACACAATATTCATTTTCTTTTTCAATAATATGCCTAGAACACTGCTTCCATAGGTCTGTGGCAGCAATATGAGATACTGCATCTCTTATTGTGGCCAATAGCGATTCACTTAATTGATGGGTCTGATTATACTATTACTTTTTTTTTAAAGCAGCCCAGACCAACTCAATCGGGTTAAAAATGCAGTAATAGGGAGGTAGACGTAATACTTCATGGCCATTTTGCTGAAGCAGATTGTCAACAACATACTCTTTTTCAAATTTTTGTCTTTTAATAAGATCCAATAATATAGCTTTGGTTGATTTTTGTGGTATTTCCATTCCCTTATCCTTCATAAAATCAATAATGTCTTGTTTTTTTGTGCCTGTATTCGGAATTTTGTTTTTCTGTCGGGAATGGTATGGCGCATTGTTTGGTATTAACTGCTGCTCTATCCACTTTTCAAATAAGTCGGAGGTCATGTCCTCATGATAGTCGGCACATGATTCTTTGATATTTTTGGCAGATAACAGCAAGGCATTAGGTATAAATCCATTTTCACTGCCAGCATGGAGAATAATGATTCGTTTTCCACGGTTGCATGGTGCATTTAAAATGCACTTGTTGCTGTCGTCAACCCAGCCGTACTGCACAACATCATGGGTATCATACCACGTTTCATCCAGGTAAATCAGATTTCTTTTCTGCTCTCTATAGATTTTAACTTTGTGCAAAAATTCTTGGCGCAATTCAACGATTCGAGACGACTCCATAATCACCATTCTTTTATCTAATTTTTTGTATTGAAAACCACACAGTTTTACAATACAGTGCAGAGTCTAAGCATTTGTAATTATAAAAATCTTCAGGATAATCTTTTAATTTATCCCGTATCATTTCCAACGTGGGCACCAAATTTTCTTTATAAAATCCGTATATTATACGACGAATATCTTCCTGAAAACCCACGTCTATTCTTTTTAATTTTTGCCCTATGCGCTTTCTGTGGAAGGAATGGTTGACTACATCTCCCCTTTTTACAACCCGATAAATGGTAGACCGACTGATTTTTGTCAGGATACAAATTCTGTTTAAAATTTGATTTTGCGAGGAATCTGGATTTTCGTTTTTCAAACAATCATACATATTTAGGATTACTCTTTGGGTCTGTTCCTCTAAATCTTTATGAAAGAATTCTGCCTGCACAGGTTCATCAACCATCTCCTCGTGGCTTGGAGCATTTTCCCAAGGTCTCCAAAGAGCCATATTTAGGACACACAAGAACAATCAACACAACAATTAAATCAACAAGTAAACTGAGTATTCAAAAGTCAAAAACACACAAACTAATGAAATCTATGAAAAAACACGGACAGACTAAAGAAAACACGTTTATTCACCGCTACACGGCACTGGCTAAACTGTTTCAATTTTCAGTAGCCACCTGCACTTTTTCGGAGCTCTGAAATACACGCTTTCTCATTGGCTATGTCCACGCATAGGCGTGCTTTACTCCACGTGGACCGGTGAAACTGCCTTTGATCTTATACGGGGGATATTTGCTGCGAAATTTGGCGATTTTTGCAGCAACAGAGCGTGTTAAATATAGATATATAAAACGCACCCGGTATTTCACAGTGTTTCAAGTGACTTCAGATAAACTATACCTAAATTGCAAAATTCCGCTACTTTTAACAAAAAGTTGCATTTCATAACTAGCGAAAACGATTAAATAAATGATAACTCTGAAAGTACCATCAGGATTTTGAAATTTTGACCCAGGTTACTACTATGAAAATGACGAAAAAGCTCTGCAGTTTTTGAAGATCGGTGCAGTGGCGGCGGAGTTATCGTCAAAAGCCAAATAAAAAACGGTCAAACTTTTGATAGAAGTTGATTTTTGAGTGTCGCCTCTGTGCTCCGCAGGGGTATCGCGTTTCTTGAAAAGTGACATTATGCCGATTTTTTTTGACATTATGCTGGTTTTTTTGACGTTAAGTAGGTTTTTCGCCAAGACGTTCACTTAGCACTTAGTTGTACGTGTTGCCTAAACGTCATGAGGCTTGTTATCAATCTTTGGCTCTGATGTTATGTAAAATCTGTTTCTGAGATGGCATTACTGGATGTCTAAGCTGTATGAGTAGATGATAATTACATTGGGCTCTTGTCTCAAATACAGTTAATTGAGATTCAAAGCTAGAAATTAGTTGCCCATCCACTTTTTCTTATCCATTCTGGAAATTACATATACAAATTTGCTGAATTTCAAAAATGAGAAAGTCAAGAAATAATTATATTCACGGTACACTGTCGCGGGCGCGGTTGTGATTTCCCGTAATTTTCCTCAGTTTTTCGTCATTTATAACTTTGAACATAACCTCTCTTCAGAAAGCACAACATAAAAATAACCCGTCGGGCACAGCCAATAGATATACTTCATTGGCAGCATATTCAGTGATAATTTTCTCAAACAGCAAATATCACTGATTTTATACACATGCAGACCAATACACAATCATCCAGATGCCAACTTTCTTCTCAGAGATAAAAACTACAGACAAGAATCATTTGGCCTCATAAAACATATGCAACCAATAATGCGTGTAGTTTAGTCGAGTGATTCTTCCTTAGATGGACGTTCACAACGATCCTAATGAGCAAACGTGGAATGACTGTTTACGCCCTAAAAACTACCTAGTTTGCAAGATGACATTTTATAGGTTTTTTTTGACGTTTTATAGTTTTTTTTACATGACACCCATGCAGGGTGCCACATAACACCTACTTTATAAGGGAATCTGCAATGCTAAGGTTTATCACTAAGTTTGTAGCGCCATCTCAGGGACATTCTCCGAACTTTTTATACAACCTAAAGAACCCTTCAAAAATATCGAATACCTAGCGCCATCTTTGGACTTCCCTATTACACTGTGGCGCCAAATTTCAATTAAATATTCAAAATATATACAGGGTGACTTTGAAGTTGAGTCATTAATTTTCAGATAATGATTGTAGAAGGAAGATAAACCAAAATATGTGTGTAAAAATAAAAAAAAAATGAAAAAAAAAATTTACCTTGTTTTATAAAGTATCCTCCCGACAAGTATTTCAGTGCGGACCTGTATTTGATCGTGAGGTCCCCTGTGAGGTCTTAAGTCAAATGATTCACGAACCCGTTGTACTACATTAACAAAGGCACGAGGGGTTGGTTGCACTCGATTGGGAAACCGATCCGCATAAACATGTGACATTTTTTATTTCGTTTGAGCCACGCAACAGACACCACTATCCACTACCGACTGACACTGACTGTATAGAACTGAATGAAATAATTGTAAAAACATCGTTCCAAATTCTTTCGCTTTTTTGTTTCCGATGCGATGAACCGATAAGAGCCGGTCCACACGGCGCGTTGCGTCAGCGTTGCGTCGACGCAGCGCTGTCCTTGCCAATGCCAATAACCAAGGTGTTCACACGGCGCGCTGCGTCGTCGCAACGCACACATGACGGACAGCAGCCCCCGAGACGAAGCGGGAGGGGGTGTACTCGTGCGACGTCGGAACGGCAGCGCTCAGTTGCTTGTGCGTTGACAGAGAGGATACACGCAAGCTCATTTTATTTTAAGTACGTTACGTTTTTGTATTCAGTTTTATAAGCAGGATAAAATGAATTCCATTGAAGAAATTGACATGGATTACTTCATTACATTGATTCAGGAAAGGGAAATTATATGGGACAAGTCAAACGTAGATTTTAAAAATAAAAATTTAAAAACAAAAGCCTGGGAAGAAATATCAAAAGTTTTATTTCCTGATTACGAGAATTTCACAGCTGAACGAAAAAACAAAGTTGGTGAGTTCACAGTACAGATATTTATTGTTTTTTTTATTTAATACTATTATACCTTCCTTAGTTGCCAAGGCAGAGTTCCTCTAGTCATAAAATGGGTCGCAAAATGCTGTCTTATGACATTCGGTGCTGTCTGTTCTTCATCTGCGGGTTGTATTGGGAGAAATTCATCAACACTTATAGCAAATGTATCTCTTTGTCTAAAACCATCTCGATCAGCGACAAAATTGTGTAGTACACAACATGCTTTTATTATGTCAGTAGCGAAGTCATAGGACACGTCTATCGGTCTGTGAAAAATGCGCCATTTGTTTGCCATAATCCCAAAAGCGCATTCGACATATCTTCTGGCCCTGCTTAGACGATAATTGAAAACCTTTTGTTGTAAGTCAAGATTTTTACCACCATATGGACGCATAATATGTTTGCTCAGTCCAAAAGCTTCGTCACCCACAAATACATACGGGGTTGGTATATTGCTACCAGAGAGTGGCTGGGGTTGAGGTAGTGGTAAGTTGTTGTTAATCATTAGCTCGTACAGTTTAGAATTTAGTAATATGGTTGAATCGCATTCTTTTCCGTATGCACCGATGTCGACAAAAACGAATTTGTAATTTGAATCCACAATAGCTAGCAACACAATCGAAAAAAAGGCTTTATAGTTATAAAAAAGTGAGCCACTATGTGCAGGATTACACACACGGATGTGTTTGCCGTCGATGGCACCAACACAGTGAGGAAAATTTGCCTTTACATCAAAATCCCTCGCTATTGTTTGGAAACTTTCAATTGTCAGTTCAGGGATGTTGTCTCGAAGAAGATTGGTCCAGATAGCACGACAAACTCTTTGTATCATATATGCAATAGTAGATTTTCCCCGTTTGAATTTCAAATGTAAATCGGTTATTGAATTTCCACTTCCTAGGTATCTGAAACGAAAATAATTATTTTAATATGCATTTATGAGATAGATAGATACCCGAAAAAAAAAATACTGACATATTCAGACATCGATAACAAACAACTTTCTCTACGTGACCAATTAATTCTGCAATCACGAAAAAAATAACAGCTGTTGCATACATTTTGATTCAGTAGGTATTGATTTTTGTATGTAACAGCTGTTATATTTTCACGATTCCAGAGTTGGTCACATAGTGTTTGTTATCGATATCTGAATATGTCATTAAATTTTATCGAGTAATTCACGATGTATAACTTATTAAATCATGTTTACTATTGGTTTTGCAGGTAATGATTTAATGACGAAATGGAGAAGTGTAAAAGATAATTACTTCAGATATTCAAAAAAATTAAAAGAAGCATCAAAATCGGGCTCGGGCGCTACGAAACTGAAAAAGTATCATTTATATAATCAACTTCTTTTTTTGAGAAGAGTGGAACAAAATGCCACCGAATCTAGCTTAGACTCGCCTAGAGAAATCAACAATGAATCTACGTCTACAAATGATGATATTACCACAGACGACTCTCCGCGCTATGTCGCGCGCAAAAGGGCAATGCAAATGGATGAGTTTGAAAGAGAAGGGCTAAAACTTCTCAAGGAGCCGGATAATCGCCATATGTCCTTTTTCAGAGGTATATAGCCATCAATTCAAGATTTTTCCGACCGACAAACTCTCCGTTTCCAAAGTCAAGTAATACAAATGATAGACGAAATGCGGTATGGACAAACATCATCATATGTGAGTGGCCCATCAACGTCTCACCAACCATTATCATATGGGTATCAAACAAGCAATTTTCAAAGTACATTCAATTCTGATAATAATAATTCAATTACATCTCCAGATCAAACATCTCAAGCAAGTGAAGAAACCGAATACGATTTTTGTAATTTGTAATTACTGGATTAAGTCCCTCTTAAATAATCTGTAAACTTGAGTTGATTACTAATTAAACAAATTACAAAAACTGTTATCTTTTAATTACTTATATAAATTATTACCTTAAAGTAATTCCCAGCATTTCTACTGGTTCCACTGGATTCCTCATATTAGTATAGTTTTTTCGTATGTGTGGTTCTACGGACTTCAATAAACATTCGAAGCTGGATACACTCATTCTAAAAAAGTTATAAAACTTCTTTTCGTCTAATAGCAGCTCCCGATATTCTAACAAAAAAAACTGTCCATCACTATTTCTTAATGCAATGAAAGGACAGACCCAATACCGTCTTGTGATCTTGCGTCGATTTCGGCGGTGACGCAGTAATAGGAGCAATGCTAGACGTCTTTTCCGATCCATGCTTTCCTATAGACTGACTGCGATATTTTTACAAAATGCTTGCCGCACCTGTGCGTCGTCGCTGCCCCGACGGAACGTTAAGACTGCGTCACAGTAACGCTGTGATGGCGCAGCGCCTGTGTGGCCGGCTATGCGTCAAAATATTTGCGTTGCGACGACGCAACGCAACGCAACGCGCCGTGTGGACCGGCTCTAAGGCGGATTATATCCGTTGTTGCCAAACACGAGCACATGATATTATTATTGAGACAGGGCGGTACTCAAACTTCCAAAGGGCTATAACTTTGTTACTTTAATTTTACCAGAAAAATGGTAAAGAAAAAAAACATTTCTTTTGATCAGATCTACTCACTGTTAAAATAAATGACTCAACTTCGAAGTCACATAAGGTATTTTAGGTAAAATAAGGCTCAACCTGATTTTATTTTTAAAATGTGTATTTTTTTAATACAATACATAAAAATAACAGTTATACAAGTTGTTAGAAATCTAAAAATAGTCGGTATTGCCGATGTACTATCGCGTGCATAAGCAATTTGAACAGCATCTATTGATATCACACATGCATTGCCACGGATCTCTTATCAGCCTGACAGTGCCTTGTTATCTCTTTATCAGATAAGGTCATCGATAGTTCAGGAGATATGCGAGGAATTTTTTCAAGTTGTTTAATAAGGAGGCCGAGTCTTTTTCACAATTAGAAAATGGTGAATGATGGGACATGAAGTTGTTAACTAATAACGTTTTATAGGAAGTTGTAAAATGAGTTGCACCAGGAGAAACATTCCTAACCCCGTGACTAATATCACTAAAAAAATTTTCCAAAGCATCTTGATTGAAACATTTAGTAAAGATATACGAAAAATTATGTTTTTCAAGAAGAATACCTTTCAAATGGATAATACCTTTAATGGTGTGGATTAAATTTTTTAAGGAACTGTGACAAAAGCTTTATTCTGTAAAACCTCATTGAATTTAGTATTTCTATGGCTAATATCCATATCACTCATGTTCAGTAGTTTGCGTAAACCTCCTTTCAGTGGCTTTGAAGAAGGTGCAGTCTTCGTATTACTATTCAGACTGTCAAATAGCTTGTCAAAGAACAAAATCAATTCGGCAGTGTCAACAGCTCCTGACTCCAGTCCCGTCCTATCTGCAGAGGCTGAAAAAAAAGTTATACATACTTATACAGTTATATGGGATAAGATTAATGGCTAAATGAGCAAAGGCTTTTGATTAATAATCTTCTCTTCTGGAAAACATTATACACAATTGTTTGTTTAAGATTTATTTAGCATGATTGCTACAATTACATTTCTCTGAAAAACTAAACAATTACATAACATACAGATATTTGGAAAAAAAGAAAATTTGCATCTCTAAGAAGTTTCACTGTTCATGAAATATTCCTTTAGATTCCTTTTAAACATATTTAAATTCCAAGTAGACATTATATCATTATTTAGTTTATAAAATAATATAAAATTCAAGTAATCCTTTCTAAAATATTGATTTGCTAGTTATATTACTACTGCAATTTTGTAAATGAAAATCTATATTCCCACTTGTATAATAATTGCGGTAATGATTATTCAAGCATATGTGTTCTAAATGTTGTGGCGTTTTAAATATAAAAATAACCAAATATGATACGAAATTTTTTGTAATCAACCACCAATGAGTACTTATTCTTCTAAATATTATGGTAAACTTACCCCATGTGGCGATCATTTTCATAATTGATCCCACCTGATGACTGAACACGTGCATACAAGTAGATACCTTCATTTTATTTATGCTTTCTTTTAGCACATGCTGATCTGTCAATTTTGAACACGTTCGATCCTCTTGCATAGTATCCAAGTAATAGAAAGAAACTATATGATTCCATTTTGCTACCATTTCCTTCTCTTTCATTTTAAAATGTAGATTTTGTTGCAATAAATTATTCCGAATTCCTTTAAACAGATGCGGTACATCATAAAGAGGAACGATCTCTACGTTGTTTACAAGAAATCCAAATAATCGATTCTCTTTTTGTTGTTGCTTGTAGTGTTCTTCAGAATCTCTAAGTAAAGAATTTATTGCCGCTTGATTTGCGGTACCTTGATCGCAGACAGTTGCGACAACATGCAATCCTATCTCCTGACATTTTTTTATGACTTCAGTTAGCATATTTTTCAACATTCCACTTTTTGCTGACCCACTACTAAAAGTGAAGCATACTGGTTGCTTCCATTTAGAATATACACCTTGTATCATGAAAACATTCGCATCATCAACAATTCCCCCATTTTCTATTCCATTTATGCAGTCATCTTTTCTATTATAATGGACGTGGCATGAAAGGTACATTTCATCAAACATAACAAGGCAGCATTTCGCCTTTTCAATCATTTTATCCACTGATTCTTTCAGGTTATTAAATAGCAACTCATTTAACCCAGGCTTTAATGGAATTCTATTTAAAAAATTTGTTAAGGTTTTCCTGGATGGCAAAGAAAATACTTTTGCCGTAAACCTGTACCCTTTTCCTCTGGCTTTTAACAGTGAAAGAGCAAGAACTTTATCACCCACTGTAAATCACCTGGCTTTTGAGGACTTCGTCTGGGTCTGAATTTGTGATAATATGAAGTTATATGTTGCAGTATTTACATGACTAAATATGTGGTTCATATTGACTGCACTTGATGCGTGTTCTGCTTTATGTAACCTTTTCTTATAGGTTTTCAAGCGGCTACCAATTACAGACATTTTATTACCATATTCTATCACTTTTTGGTATAATGTTCTTGCTGTGGGTAGTAATTCTGTCTGCCTTTTAACATTTACAGAATCAAGTATTTTTCTGTTGTATCTGCAACTTTAGTTGTTATTTATTATTATTTCAAACAAAAACAGCTCATATATTCTGTGTACATTATTTTCATTAGAAAAAGGCGCAATAAAACCTAAATTTCAACATGACTGAGCTTTTTCAAAAAAGGAATATGAAAGTAAACTAAATAAAAAATAAAAATAGCGATGTCTTCAGATAATCCTGCTGTTGGGCTATATCATTCAGCCCAGCTTTCACCTATAAATAAAAAAAATTAAAATAAAAGGAGTTGAAAACAACATACAAATATTTGACAGAATATTATTTTATACATACGTTTGAAAATGTATTTGATTGAATTAAATTTAAGAGTTTTTTTTAAACTAAATACTGAAATATACTTACATCTTAAATGTTTTAGGGGAGTTGAATTCAAGTCTTTAGATGAGCCTGGTCTTGGATGTTCTGATGAATGTTCAATATTTAGTAAACATTTTGCCAATAGAGCTGTTGCTGAGCCATCCTGTTTACCTAAAAGTTAATTTTTTTTTGAAATAAATAACTAATAGTTAAAGTAATTACACATCATACATATTATAACTCTCACTTTATTAATGTAGATCTTGAACAACTTTCTAATATTTATAAATCTGCCACTATCTAAAGTAAAATAACTGTTTTTAAACTTACCTTCTTCATATATACTGTTTTCTTTGACCAACTTGGTGTCTGTTGAAGAACTCTTCAATAGAATTGTTTTAAGGGTCTCTCTCATTTTTGCAGCCAACGGATTAGCAATTTTCCTACTACCTTCATGACTTTCGGGACTACTCTGAACATTTTCCGAAACAATACCTAAAAAAGAATTGAATTTCATTATATGTTTATAATGCTAGGTAAGTTTTTCAAAAAATTGTGGAAACCGTAAATACTGTGAAAGTTTTTAGGAAACCAAAATGTTCGTATTATCTAATCATGATTATTCACTGATTGGTTTATATATCTAAACAAAGTTATTACTTACTTGAAGATTGAAGTTCAGAAAGATGTAATGTAGGAAAAGCTGTTATTTTCAAACCTCTCTTGGTTCCAGGCACTTTATCACTTTTCGAAAAATGTCACACACCAAATAGCTTTTATAAATTTGTTCGTGATTTTTATTGTCCAAAATTGGATTAGGTCGATCCACTTGTTGAAAACAGCGGCATCATATTTTGGAAATGTATGCCTTTTACTGATTGTATCAGTACAACCAGGCACAACGCACTTTTTAAATCCCCGCTTTCGATAAGCCTCCATTACAAAAAGTAAGTTAGTGAATTCAAATTCAGTTAAGGCTCAACTAATAAAAACGGCGGCGCCGCACACGATTCAACTTTATATTCAACGTATATCAACGTCAAAGCATTGAAGTGTCAAAAAGAACAGAGAAATCTAGTATCAGCGCCACTCTGTTGTTACACTCCGTACTAAGTAGGATATAAGAATATCTGGTTGCCTACAAAATGCACCTTCACAGTCACTCATTTAACTTTCAATTATAAAGTAGGTGTTATGTGCCGGGTGCATACAATTCTCAATTCATCATCACTGGAAAGTGGAAAGCTCCTATGCAGTCGATAAATTCGTTTTTTTTAAATTTATTAATTTGCTACATATGCCGCTTCAATCTTATGATGCATACAGTAGATCAAAAAACACATGATGATGCGCTACCCTTTAACAGAAACCTGTACATTTTAGTCAGTTGCATTTAAACGTAACCAGATGCCGCTTTCGTCAGTTCTACAACACGATCCTAGGATCTCCCTGAATTGCGAATGGCTGTGGCATCTATTGTTATTTTTTGAAACTACTTCGTGTTGCTACCCTATTTCATTATTATACCACTTGTTACAGAATCAGATTTCCTAAACTCATTTATATATTTTCGATAGTTCTCAATAGATGACCTATAATAAAATTGAAGCGACATCTGTCGATCTATCAATCATTTATGCTGTTGAATGATGTAATTGACTTCCTGAAACCTCAAAATATTTAATTCAAAAGACGAAAAAATTCAAAACTGAAGATGTATTATAATTTTTTGATGATTTACATAAACAATTTTTTTATTGAAAAAATAAGTCTTGGTGAAAAGATGCATTATGAAATAGCAGACAGAAGAAAATTAGAGACCTTTAGAAATTATTGTTAGCTTAAATCATAAGCCAATAGATGGCTATTATCAATTCATTTTTAAAGTTATCTGATATAATATGCCAGAGTTTAGGAATATCAAGGATATATACATTTTTTTAAGTTTCCTCACTTCTTCTACATATCTGTTTGACATTAAATAATGCTGTTTGAAATATATAGTTAGGATTATAAAAGATGGATTTCCATATTCCAAGATGTTGACAAAAGAGGTGTGATTGAACTTTCATTTGGTGGGCGGAGTAAGAGGAGAGGGAGGTTGAATTTAATTGTCCGCCATGTTGTGCTAAAAGTGTTTTCCTCCTGTCAAATTAATGAATTTCTCTATAGTTTGTGGCTAAAATATGGAAGAAACTAAAGTAATTTATCATATAGATGACGAAGAAACTCCATATTTAGTGAAAATACCAATATCTCCGGATAGAGTGACTCTAGCAGACTTTAAAAATGTTCTCAATAGACCCAACTACAAGTTTTTCTTTAAATCGATGGACGATGATTTTGGGTAATGAAATAGGATATTTTCAGTCATAAATACTTTCTATACAACTGTGAGAGTAGGTCTTATATTGAAGAATCAAGTTTTAACCATAGTGTGCGAAAGAAGTTCTAAGATATCTGTTTTGGAAGCCATGATTCCTGGAGTAAACATGTTATCTTTCATGGTGATCTCCAAGATTTCATGTTCTGTTTAACGTAAACTATTTACATTTCATCTTTTTACTGAAATTATCATTTGCACATGTTTATTTCCAATGAAGTATTTGAAATTGAGCTTTACTGAGTAAAAAGCAATGCACGTTTTATTGTAATTACTTAGAAAAACTTGTAAGGCTAAAATACTCATGTATTTTAAAATTGGCCAAATGATTTTAGTGTGGTGAAAGAAGAAATTGTGGAAGATGGTGCTCATTTACCTTGCTTTAATGGAAGAGTTGTCAGCTGGGTAAGTCTGAGCAATTTTTCTTAGGTACAGGCATTATTTACATTTTATTTAGATAATTTTTGTTAATCCTTGATTCTGATGGACTACTATAAATATGATTATGTAGGGTGGATAGTGTTGATAACACTTACATGCATATAAGAGAAGATAAGCTTCCAAGATGCGATTTATGGAATTTGCTTTGATTTGAACAATTCACAGATATTATACTATTGATGTTTTATGTAGTGAAAATTATAATTGATATCCTAATTTAATTTTTTACTCTCAACCCTCAAAAGCGGGGTTGTTTTTCAAGTTTCAATTCTCTTTCATGGGCTACAGACCAAGTGGCTTGATGGATTTTGATAGGTATGTGAGGTGGTGTTGGATTCATCTTTGCCATGCAAGTGACACTTGGTATATTAAAATTTTACAAAATAAAAATGACATTTCAATTGAACATTTCAACTTTGAAATTTGTATTTTATGGGATACAGTTCAAATGGTTTAATGGGAATGTGCATCAAAAATCTTTTCTTGGATGCCAAATTGTACAGTTGAATCGAGTCTTTAATTCTGATTCAAAAAATGTATGTCATATATTGACATTGCTGAACCTTAATTATTAAAAAAAAAAAAACTATTTCCTATATTTTCTGCAGTCATTTTTTATTTTTCCTGAGTTTTTGTACATTTAAATGGAGTTTTGCAGTCCTGAATACAGTGAGTTGGCCATGAATTTGTTGTTAATGAAAAAATTATAAGGAAATAAAACATGGTATGGTGAAACAATAATAAGCATAAATGAGCACAGGTAGATGTTCAAAACCTTGTCTGTTGTTTTGTAGACAAGGCCTGACTCTTCTATGTACATTGTTCACTGCTCAGTTTATTTCCCTTCTTCTCAGCCTTCCAAACTCTGTTACAGTGTTCAATTTGAGTCATGATCTGGTATATGAAACAAATGACTGTTTGGTAATTTCAAGGCCTACCTAGGAAATTCTTTTTCTGAAATAACAGACGTTTGACAATGTCAATCTATAATATCTTATACCTTTTTGGAATCAGAATTATAAACCCTATTCACCTGTGAAAAAATCCAATATGGCATCTATAAGAAGTAATACAGTTGATGCTGGAGGACAAGAGGCAAATGTCATTAAAATTTTAATTAGGCAAAGAGAGTCAGGAAGAAATTAAGACTATTTTGGGGAAATTCGTGTTTTTCCGACTCTCTCCAGAAGAAGTTTTAACTTTGAAACTTTCTATGCAGCATTTTATTTTGTTATTTGCATGAAGGACACACCTTTCCAGCAGGCCATCCCTTAAGTATCTATCAACTATCCTTTCCAGTGTCTTAAGCACAAAAGATGAAAGAGTAATCAGACGAAAATCCTTCGGGCCAGTACGAGTATGTCTAGCTCTGTCCGGTTTAGGAATGAATACCACCTTAGCCTGCCGCCAGCTTCTAGGTGTGAAGCCCGTGGCCACGCATGCTCGAAACACATTCAACAAACGAATCTACTGCCCATACCGTCCTTTCGAAGGTGAAAATCTCCCTAGCCGTGCGCCAGTCCTCCCCTGAGGGCCTGTGCAACTGCATGCACTCTGTGATTGATCACGCTATTGTGAAACCGGGGAAGTGCGTATCCATTAGAAGCCTCAGAGTACCTTCCTCAAAAGTTGTATTCCCCCCCGATGGATCATGCAGAAATCCCAATCTTGCTTTAATGTCTTTGCATAGGACCCTGTGTATTCTCGCAGTAGCAGGAATGTCGTTTATGGACTGACAGAAGTACCTCCAGGATTCTCTGGAGGCCTTTCTAATCTCCTTTTTGTACTCCTGCAATGCCTTTTTGTAGTCGTCCCATAGAGGTGAACTTCTTCTGTGCTTAACTCTGCTAAGAAGTTTGTGCACTGCTCGTTTTCTATCTTCTAATTCTTTGGACCAGAAGGTTGCCTTGCCCTTACCTTGAACTTTGCGTAACGGGCAGTTTTCCTCATATGAAGCCATCAAGTCCCTGCTCAGAGACTCGACGGCTGCTTCTATGTCAGAGCCCCTACAAAGTCTGTATGGGACCGCTCCAAACTTACTGTCAAGGTCTGCCCTAAAGGACCCCCATCTAGCATGCCTAGGATTCCGAGCATATTTATCTGAAATCTCTCCATCAGTCTTAAACAGTATATACCTGTGATCCAATAGAGAGGGTGTTAGAGACACTTTCAAGTCCCTAATCTCCTGAGCTAAGTTAAGCGTGCTCAGTGTTACGTCGATAACCTCTTCTCTTACACTATTGCTGAAAGTGGGCATGTTACCGACATTCAGAACCTCAAGGTTCGATGCCCCTAGGAACTCCATGAGGTCTTCGCCCCGTCTGTTTGAGCTACCCCACATAACGTGATGGGCATTGATGTCGCATCCAATCACGAGGTCGAGTCCAGAATCCCTACAGAATGCGACAAGGTCCCCCATTTCCTTGGACTACTAAGGGAATGGAAATACCACAAGAATCAACCAAAGCCATATTATTGGATCTTATTAAAAGACTCTTTAATCGTAAGGAAGGTAAGCCGAAGATTCGACCAGGTCCCTGTCACTGCCTTCCTTCTTATATCTAATTCTAACTGCAACTAAGTCTCTGAAGGTAAATTCTTTGAGTTGCCATGTGTTAACGGAAGTCATTACGCAAGCTCTGGGCTTAGTGTCCGGAGTATCGCTAAAAAGCGCATAGGTCGGTATACTAAGCCCGTTTACTGAACCGTTTCTCAGCCAGGGTTCCTGGATGAGAGCCACGTCATGTCGGCCTCGAGTGATCTCCTGAGTAAGGGCCCTCGAAGTCGCTATTCAGTGTTGTAAGTTAATTTGAATGAAATTAAAACTTACCATGGGTGTTGAGAGGCCCATCCTACACCTTCCCGAAATGTGGCTCAACGAATCATTCAATTGGCCGGGCTACCGGCTTTACGGCGGGTCTCCTCAAAAACTGATCAAGGCGGTCCACCGCAAGACCGGCACCCCGTTTCCTCCCCTACACGGTTCAGCGCCCAAGGCCGCCTCGCAGAACGAACTCGAGGACGTACGGGTTGGATTTTGTAGGGGTCCTTAATCTAAACGTCAAATTGTAAACACTTTTTTCTTTTCATGGCCTGCTATTATTTTCTTTTTAATATCGTGTCCGAACATTATATGTGTCAGCAAAATGTTGCGTTGTTATCAATATTAGTTTGGTTTTATATTTCAGTATCATATTACTTGAAAACAGTTTTGTTATTATGATGTGCAAATAATATATTTCATTGTCTTATAAAAGAAAAACAATTAATTTTTAACCTTACAAAAATAAACAAACTTTTAGATAAAATTAGATGATATGCGAACATTTTTGAGTTAAGGCTCGTAATTGTAATTCAAGAAATTGAAATCTGAGCCTTTTGTATCCAATTCATCATCGTTACTGAAGAAAACGTTATACAATAAGGTCTCATAGCAATGAATTTAAAAAATGCATCCACCAATAAATATAGACCCATTTGGACCTGAAGAATATTTTGGAATGTAGGGTATCCTGAAACTGAAGAATATTCCTACAACTGCAAATGGGGAAATTATATGTAAAAATTTTGTTTTGAAGAACTTGCCGAATGCAAGCCCGTGTCATTTCGACATAAATCGTTTTGGACCATGTTTAGTTATAAAACACTCAGCATTGAGCATTCTACCCAGTATTATTTTTCCTTAAGAAGACGAGAAATCTACATAAAAATCATACCAAGTCAATTTATTTTGGAATCCCTTCTCAAATAAAGTGAGGAAAAAATAAAAGTGATTTTGGGATACATCTGGTAGGCAAAACAAAATGACTATCTGACAATTTCAAGGCCTAAATTCTGATTTTTTTTTGAAATAACTAAGGTTTGACACCATCAATGTATGAATATTATATATTTTTTTTAGAATCAGAATTAGAAACTCTAATCGACTGTGCGAAAATACAATATTGCGAAATTCTAATTATGCTATCTTTTAGAGGACAAAGAGTGGGGTAATGTTTTTTATTAAACAACCTGCAAGTATAATTTTCGATGACAATTTCGTTAGCCTGGCAGATATTCAATTTCTTTAGAGCTCTACATCACTTTACATAGACTATCATATTAGTTATCTCTTAAAAATAGGAAACTTCCTCATTCTTAGTGTTCTGAAGCAAACCTGGTTCTAAAATGTTATTTGGAGAAATGGAAGGTGATTAACTGAATGCGAGAAACCTCGAAAACTAAGACTTTTCTAAAACAAAATTTTGCCATATAACAGGTCAAGATGTGTACCTCCATGCAGTTTCAGGATTATCCTTCAATGGCTGAAATACCCTGTATATGTTATGTTCATGCTATATTTTCTGTCTGTTCTCTTTCCAACAGTCAGCTTTTGATAGTGATTTACTGATACTAGCTGTATGGTGATTTGTGTCACCACACATTATGCTGCAATTCTGACATTTCCCGAATATGCTCATTGGTTTGTTTATATTTGACAGCCACTGATAGAAACATCTTGTTGTAACTAGTTAGAAGATTCATTTTTGTTGCATGAATACATTGATTTTAATTTGGGCTTTGTGTTTTTTTAAACAGTTGGTATCAGCAGATGGTTCCAATCAATCAGACGGCGGCTCACAGTGCACGACAGACAGTGTTACAAACCAATCAGAGAACCGGTTACCTCCACCAGCACCCGAGTCTGTCTGTACAGACACAGAGAGCATCATTAGTTCTAGACAGGGTAGAAGGCATCATAAATACTCATCCAGAATTAATGGACATCTTCCAAGGTAATATAATAGTGCAAATATTGGCAATTCTTTTACAAACTTCAAACTTATTTTGATTTCTTGGCTAAGATCCACCTCCATTTTATTATTTGTAAATACAAAACTCTCCTTACAGAACCTAACTGAATTTTTACATTCAAATTGATATGTTTGGGTTTGCTTTGTTATGTATACTTTTCAACTTAATTAGCGTTTCAGTACGCATCTCGCCAGTCGCTGACTTACAGTCAAACTAATATTATCTGATAGAAAAGTGATTATTTTTCACCTACTAGTAAGTCTTTCTGTATATCAATATTACACTTTTTAGAAGTTTTAACGTGTTTAGTGTTTTAATTTCTGACGCTATTGTTTAATTCTAGAAAGCCACATGTACCTGAAGATGGCGTTTTAAGTTGCCGAAACAATTTGTTTTTAATAAATGTTTTAAATTGACCAAATCCCAGTAATTTATAACTTGAACCAATCAAACAAGATTGTAATATTATTTCACGTTAACCATTATTAAATAGTATTCATATAATTATTATTGTTTGATTAGTTATTAGATTCATGTTCATATTTAAACACATGAAACTATCGTTAAAATCCCTGCTGAACCAAATAATGTTTTAATAGTGTGCATCATGTTTCGGTAAATGGATCTGGAAATACGCTCAAACTCAGTTAGCGGCGGATCACAGTAAAACGGTAAAACTACAGGGATTACATACATGTGCAATATGCTTCTATGTGCGGACGTTTGATTTTGTAAGCTCACAGATATTGGAACATTTCTTATATTGTTAACTTGTTTCGTAATCCTTTGAGACGTAGCCATAAAAAAACCTGAAAAAAATTGTTCTCCATTCAGCTTGGCATACATTTAGCATTTTTTTAAACATCTTATGTCGGTTTGGCAACATTGCCTCAGGAGATGTAGAACCACATATGAGCGAAACAGCAAACTAAGAGCGGTCTGCTCATAGATCACTGAGCTTCTGTTTAAAGCCGACCGCACATTTTAATCTATTCTACATTTAATCTGGCAAGTTTGCTGTTTAGCATCGAAATACTTAAGAATTGACTAGTTTTTATCTTCCATGAGAAATGGAGCCGACCGACGGACAAAGACATTCCACGTAGTGTTTTCTCTTGGTATAACTACTCTTTGGAGGAGTTGAGCAAGCTTACTGTTTTGTTGGCGACTGCCGTGTCATATTGATGTTTCTCTGTCCTCTAAGGGTATTCCCTCACCGAGATGTCATGGCGGCACCGCCAGCCTTCCCAGTTTCTTGAAATATCTAGCAGCTCCCTGATCTGGCGACTAGGGGCTACGGATGCAAAAATCGATATTTCGATAGGTTAGCTTGACTACGGTCAATGGTCAAGAATTCTAACTTCTAGAGTAACTTATTCATACACTCGACTATGTTACACTTCTGTTGAATGAAATCGGTTGATGACATCTGGTGAGCAGCAAATATACAGACATTTTAATGCTGTGAAGGAGTCCTTGTCTCAGACGTTTGTAACGTCGATGCCCTCGTTCTACCCTTCAACTCTCATTCCTGTATTTTAAAGATGTGAGACAATGAAAACACACATTATTGAAATCACCAAATGAGTCATCAACCATCAACCGATTTCATTCAGTAAGTAGACGTGTAAATGGTCAAGTGTATGGATATGATACTCTAAGCGCGGCGAGCGCGAGCCAAGAGTATTCAAAACAAAAGTTAGTATGTTGGTGAAAATATATGAAATTTGCGATTTTAGGAGTTTAATGTTCGAATCATGAAGTGATATACTGAAGCTACGCAGCTCTACTGCATGCATATATCGAACCAGTTTCACCACGAATTTAATCTATTTCCTGCAAAGAACTACCTTCTAAATCCTTTAGGCTGGTGCTCGACACCGTAGAAGCAACATGACATGGTAGTCGGCAACTAAGGCAGTAAGCTTGCTCATATCCACTGTGCACTAATAATGTAGATTGAGATACACTGACGGAGAGGAATCTGTTTGAGGCCATTGAAACTATTAGAATAAATCTTATCACTTCTCGGTTTTGGGTCCTATGCGATTTGTCACGAAACTTGTTAAGCGGGTTGTACCAAATCTGAAATGACGCAAATTCAGTAACCCCTCTAGAATACTCGTATATTTTCATTTAATTGTAAATCTCTGTACATGTTTACATTACGCTCTTCCACCGTTCGTCCTCGTAAATGCAGGGTATGAGGAGAGTGGTACAACGGGGGCCAAGACGTCAGATACGTCGTTATGCTCGTATGATCAGTTACAGGGCACATTATAACACCAGAATATAATAAACTCACGTAAAGATATCTGCAACTTTTGTGTTGGGACATGTCATTGTAGGTGTCCTAACACAGGTAATCTGTATTCGATCTCGATGCGGGTTAAATCATCGTGTAGAGTAGCGGACGGTAACCTTGTGGAACAATCTACAAGAGGAGGCTTCTCACAGTTCTACCAACCTAGGCAGTTAAATAGTCGGATTAACAAAATTTCTTCGGGATCCTCATAGCAGCCTGGAATTTAGGTTTCTGCCTGCGCGGTTACTTCGGTGTAAAAAAATTTTAGTAAGTATATTCAGCCATATAACACTCAGAGACGATAAAGTCGCTGACCGCAAGTGAAGAGCCAAAAAGAAGGATGCCCTCCTCGAAACTTGTATCAAACCTGGTACAATATCTAGACTGATATGACAGCAATAATTGAGCATTTTATTGAAAAGAACAGTGTCACTACTTATCCGAGACAGATAATTTTGAAAAAAGTATATATTTTTTACAATTCATCATGTCCATTGTGTTGCCGTATAATATAGTTATAGTTTGCAAATATAAATCACTGTTTCCTACTATGGCTTATACACTGTGTCCGGCTATACTATATTTATTTATAAGATGAATATTGGCAGTTATCCAATTTATAATAAAGGTATGCATATAACGCATGTTTCTTTGTTAATATATTGTAGAACGGTCATCCAGGGGGTCTACGGGGACAAAACTTTCCGTGCTTCGTTTTACTAGTGGTTTATTTCTAAATACGTCGCTGATGAAACAATATAAAAAAAGGCACGTCGACCGGTCGGCACCGTAGGCCCGACTCTTAGTTGTGGCTCAGCCCAGTAGAGGGCGCGAGGGGTATCAAGGTTTGTTCCAACAACAGCTCTGATCTAGTTCAGAACTAATTTCGAATAATTTTTATATTTTTATACCCATGCTCGAGGTAAGTACAGTTCAGAACTAGTTCTGCAGTATTCTGTTGGAACAGAGAATTAATGGCTTGTTGTCGTAAACGTAACCATAATTGAAGTAAAACTTAACATTATTGAGTTTTCGTATGCTAGCCGTGGAATTTGAGATAATGTATTGTTTTTTGACTGTAAATCTTAAAAAAATGGGGAAAACGAGATGGCAGACTTAACAAGAGATGAGTACCTTGGTAAAGTTTTGTCCTTTTAAAGTTGGAAGAATTCATTATTTTGCCTTCAGAGGAAGGATGCTCTGCTACAGTAGCAAAGGAGGAAATTAAGTGCAATGTTAACAACTAACTGTTACTATAATTAGCCCAAGATCTTCATGCTCACTTGAATCTGCTCCAAAGTAATCGTCATCGTAACCCATTTTATGAATGTGTTTAGTATATATACTCATAGAACAATAAGTGGTGGTGTTTAGGTTTGATACACGAGAAGATTGAAAATGGCAGGCACAAAATGCAGCTCCCAGATATCAACGTAAACGCGCATTCGCTATAAAATCCGAACTAGTTCTCTCTCAAAACCTGAATTGTTAGGACCAGTTCAGACCCGATCCGGGATCAGTTCGGATTTTGTCGGAACATTTACGGAATTAATTCCTTTTTTTTTGGTTGGAACGGTAATTTCGATATGCGCGTGATCGGTTTAGTTTAGAACTAGTTACATGGTTTGTTGGAACAAAGCTATAAGCGATATAGTGATAAGCCAGGAAAATTATCTCTAAACTCGTGTTGACCATATATAGTAAATAGCTGGAAAGAAAGATTATTTTGCAGTGCAGTCAGGTGAATTGAATATTTACCTGATGCTTGTTGAAGAATAAGGATTGTCATTTATTTTGTCTTATCATAGAATTTATTAAGTAGAGTATTGTATCGCAACTACAAAAATTAATCTAATTTGATTGCTACAACACATAAAAGTCGATGCTTATACTGGACAATATTCCTACATTTTACTGGTGCTTACTCAACTTGAAAATAGATGTTGCCTCCCGGATCATTTTGTTTTTTCCATTATTCTCAACAGAAAGAGAACATTTTATTTTTTCAGTCTTCTCGGGTATTTATGTTTGTTAAATTTGGTTATATTATTTTCAACAAATGCCTCAGTAATTGCTATCATATTAATTTAGATATTATATCAGGTTTGATCCATCCTTCTTCTTTTTGATTGGTCGAATTTGGGACTAGTCGCAAATCCTTCTATTGATTGGTGGAAATTGTGTCCTAGCCGCAAATTTTGTGCCCGCGGTGAAATGAAAAAAAAAAATAGGTTTTTGTATAATATTGGAATTAGAGACCCATTTTACACAAGTAGTATAATTTCTCTCGTTTGAGGGATTTTTTATAAGAAATCGACCATAGTCATTAGATCTATTACTTCAAAAACGCTTAAAATTGGGTTGAATTTGTGCCCTAGTACGCAAATTTTGATTCACTCGGGTTAATAGTAAAATCGAGCCTAAGTGTCATAGCACAGACACTCTTCATTCGATAGCGATGCGTTTTAAACTATTGTGCAGAAGAGAATTGAGACTATATTTGCCTCAAAACTGCACTGAAACTAGGCAAGTGGTAGTGCTAAAATAAGTGATCAAAGAAACTGACCCGCTAATTAACTTGATCAGTTGATTCTGTGCTAAATTCCCCAATGACGTATTTTCTTCATTTTTAAGTTGGATCAATTTGATCATTTTTAGCTTTATATGTTATTATGTGTATTTGTGCAATTTGAGTGCAACCTGCTTGTGTCGCTCTATATATATATATATAAATATATAAATATTGAGCAATTCCACGGTTATGTCAACCTGATAGTCAAAAACTGAAGTTTACCGTACATTACTATTTGTGTCGGTATTTTACTCTACATGGACAAAGCACAAAGTGAAAAGAATTTAAAGATATATGATTTCACGTTTAACATAATATTATATTCTTGATTGCATTGATTTCATAGTTTGGGCAGCCTAAACAAATTATTCAACATGCAACAAAATAAGTGACGCCATGCTCCTCTGCCTATTCTAATCATAACTTTTAATGGATAATTGAACATTTTATTTTCAGAGTTTATGAGACTGCATCCATCGTGAGCTCTGACTTGGAGACTACCAGTTTCCAATCAGAAACGACAGGTAGACACACTGCATTATCAGAATGTTCGAGTGTGAGCAGATTGCACGTTGCTGGGCGGAAAAGACCTCAGAGGCGGCGAAAACAAAGGTTACAAGTAAGTAGTGAGGCTAAAGGAATAATGTATTTTAATATCAGTTAAGTACTGTGAAATTAACTTTTTGTGACGAAATTAATATATAACCGTCTTTTCTATGATTGTCCAGAATAGATAGTGTGTGAATGTACCATCTCTTCTGCGCTCGCACAGAAAAGAGGCTATAACTAGGTTCCAGTAGCTCAGATGGAAGACTGAGGCTCAAAGAGGCAAAAGTTGACCATGGCTTGGTGAGGAGGGAAAAACAGAACAGCACACTTTAAAATTTAATAAATTTCATCAATCAATAGCATTTCCATTACATAGATAAAAACTACAACTAGTTATATTAACAATTTTCAATTTACATTGGCGGGGTTCGTTGGTTATTGTATTTATTGAAGATTGTCATTTTTCTTTTGATACTAATAGCCCATTTATGCCCGCGGTTAAGCTGCGCACAGCGTCGTACAAGGTCGCGCGTTTTGAACGATAGTTCCAAATTTATTATACCCCATTACCCTGCGAACCCTGCTTCAAATTTGATTGTGACCAGCTATGACGATCAAAGTTCTTATCTCCATATATTCACTTATGTCAATTTTCTACATACACGTATGTATTAGCGGCCATATGGGATCACTTAACTAAGAATAGTTGGGGTAGCATTAACGATTAATGAATGAAATTATTCAACGACAGGAAATGATAAGAAAAAAAATCTCTGATATACAATTTGAAATAATTTACAAGAAATTACACGTCTGCAATTTTTTTTGGAAAAGCTATTTCGGTAATTTTAACTGATTCATATTGTTTGTGACGCACTGAATCTAAAAATGAACTCCGTTTTGCCGTAGCACGTCACGTTTTTTTCGCAAATTGGGTATTAATATTTTGCAAGGTATTACTCGTAAGAGATATAAGTAGTGCATAAAAAAAAATTTTCCACAACATCCTTAAATACGAATCACCGTTCCCTCTGGAGAGCTGTCATGGTGCTGGCAAACTCTTGATCCGCTAGGAGCTTTCTGTTATCTGGCCCAACAAATACATCTTTTAATTTCGCCTCCGAAAGATCGGGAAACTTTTTAATCAGGTATTTGAAATATTCTCCGACCAGTAATTTTTTCGGTCTCGACTGTCCCAAAGGCATAAAAATAAGAAAATTCGGTGTAACCAGCTTGTTGACCCAGCAGGATGCACAAGATCTTCAAATCACCGCACATTTGCAAACCACGATCTTCATATTTGAGTTTTTGAAGTCAATTCCAACCATGATCTTCAAATTTGAGTTTTTGAAGAATCACTTCCAAGTTCTCATAGATCTCTTTCCAGAACAAAGAACGTCTAGCGGGAATGGGAGCATAGAAACCACCGTTATGAAGTAAAACTGCTTTTAAGCTGCGCTTTGATGAATCGATAAACAGACGCCATTGATTGGATTCTGAATTGAATTATCAAACCTTCAATATCTTTACATAAACTAGATTTTCTTCTTTGGTAAGGTAACGCAAAATATTCTTTTCACGATGTCTGAACCAAGAAAAAGACACTTCAGATAGTAATAAATTCTTATCCTATCCAAGCAACTCAGCAGCCTCTTTAGGACGATCCAGATCTCTCACCAAATCATTTATCTCTTCATGGAAGAACGATTTTGGTCTAGTGCCATCTTCAAAGTCAGAACTTGAATCCTGATCGTCTTGAGGTTGTACTTTACCTTCATCTGAGTCTGGTATCGCTCCCAACGAAGCAGGGGGCTTTGGAACAGGTATTTCTGCATCATGAGGAAGACGATGAATAGCTGAGGGGAGATTTGGGTATTATATGGAATGCTTGAAGTTGAACCCTTTGACATCACACGAGCAGAAGTAGCAGTCGTCACTATGGTTTCTTTACTTTCGCCACACCATAGCTACCCCAAAGCGGAAACTTTTCTTTTTACCCTTAAACAAGAAAAGAAGGTACTCCACACATCTTTTGCAAACTCTATGAGGCGCCCAAGCTTTGTCTTGATCACCAAGTTTTATTCCAAAATACACACTTGACAAAGTCTGTTATATTGAGATGTTGCTTTGAAACTGTTTAAACAAAAAAAGTCGGGTGAATTGCGAGGTCGTTTTAGGAAATTATTATGTAAACAAAATCGTAATAATACCAGAGAGTCGCTATACCAAGAGAAGACTGACAAGGTAAATACATGTGAGAGATGGATGGGTTCAATCAAAAGCTGGCGTCCACAAAACAGCTGATCGGATATAACACGAGTTATATCAGCCGTTCCTGCTGATATGCCGGGAATAATGCCGACCATGCTATTTTCATAGAATATCTAGAGTTTACTGTACTCAACATATTTACAGTCAGTCAGATTTAAGCCTTTATACTGTTAAAATCATAATAATATTTCAATAATTTTCGAAAAGTACTTTTTTTAGATTTGTATTTTCTGAAAATAAACTTTTTTGAAAAGCGATCGAGGCATCGATCTTATAACTCACGTGTTATTTGGTCTGAGATACATGCGGCGTTGCGTCATGTGAAAATAGGCTAAATCTGATTTCGCATTTTGTGGGAAATTCTGACGTGCTAGACATTTTCCGATATCAGTTTCGTTTTCAGCACATCAAACTACATACGAATCAGTTGAAATCATCCAAACAGTTTTTTGGTTGCAGACCTGTGTTATCAAGCAAACATTGAGTACAGTGTTTTAGTCATAATATTAGGTCAAATATAAACAATTTCTTGTTGTTACAGGCTATGTCTAGGACCAGTTCATATTCAAGTATAACAGACTCGACAATGTCTCTAAATATAATCACTGTCACATTGAATATGGACACAGTGAACTTTCTGGGCATCTCTATAGTTGGGCAAAGCAATAAAGGTGGAGATGGTGGTATATATGTTGGATCTATCATGAAAGGGTAATATTTACTATGATTTTTACACGTATTTATTATTCGATTCTAATTTGTACTTTGTTATTAATAATAATTATCACCGTTGCTCTAATGATTATTTACGTCAACATGGTTTAGAAGTTAAAAAATGTTTTACTTGTTAAATATTGTTATATAAAGGATTTTCATTGTTGTAGCAGTCAAAAGATAATGGTTGATTATAATTTATTGAATTATTCCCTAGCACCGATTTGAAAAGATGTCCAATGACAAGAGTCGTTATTTATATATTCTCTAAATAACGCATTTGGTTAAAGCACATACTACTAACTGTACTTTATTTCAGCGGTGCGGTAGCGCTAGATGGTAGGATAGAACCGGGTGATATGATATTACAAGTAAATGACGTTAATTTTGAAAATATGTCAAACGACGAGGCTGTTAAAGTTTTAAGAGAAGTTGTACAAAAACCAGGGTAAGAGGAATTATGATGGATATTTTTACTCAAAGCTATAGTATCCTACCACTGACCTCTTGGATGTAGATGTCATACATGTAAAACCATGGGATGAATGAAAAATGAACAAGAAAATGAAGAAGATCCATGTGAATATATTTATGCATCATACATGGACCCATTTTTCTCATTTTTCGGCCACCCATTTTTACTCATTGTTTTTCTGAAATGCTCATTTTTATCATTATTTTGGATTTTCAATTGTGATACAGGCATTCGTTTTCATAAGAGCTGTTTAAATACCCCCCTAGCTCTATCTTAATTTTTTCAATCACCAGCAATCGTTTTCAGAACAACGCTTCTGAGGGCACTAGCCTCTTCAATTTTCAAATGCCAGCGACATAGTGACGGAGTATTTTTGTTCATATCAATATCATAACCACAGAAAAGCAACCGAACTAATCGTTTCTCACAAAACACTTTTTTTCATTTATTCGAGGTCTCTGACCATTCTGTTATTGAGAAGTATGAATTATTTGAAGAATATTTTGAACTGTGTAATAAGTATCGTTCTTGGATTTAATGATTCAGTCAACAGTATAACGAAGCTGAATATATGGAGTTGAGTTAGAGTGTAGTTTTTCTTTCAGACCTATTAAACTAGTTGTTGCCAAATGCTGGGACCCCAATCCCAAAGGGTATTTTACCATACCCAGGACTGAACCTGTCAGGCCTATAGACCCAGGTGTGTAAATTTCTTTCATTGAAATTGGTGGATTTTGAGAAATAATATTACCTTTCAGGAGCTTGGGTAGCTCACACGGCGGCAGTTCGGGGTGATCCCGTGGCTCGACCACCGAGTAGTTCTACGGTATCTAGCTCGTCAATCGCTAGCACTATACCGGCCAATGAACGTGAGTGTCTTCTTGGTCCTGGTATGTATATGCACCTCTCATATGCTTATTTATTGCACGCTTCTACAGCTAGTTTCCATTCGATGCAGATTTTTTTTTGCAATTGGCGATTGAGTTTTTGGCGCTGTCATTTAATCATTTCATTTCTAAATTATTTTTCGTAGAGAGTTGAACACTTGTCAAATTATCTCAACAAAGATATATACAAAAATAGGCTTAACAAATAAACCATTATTCGCTAATCTAAAAGAGATGTAGGTTCATAGGTTTCAGTAACTTCAATTGTTGTCATTTCTAATAGGTTTGCCAAACTCAATTCTCTATTGAGTCCGACAGAATCGTGCCATTTTTCAACTTATACTAAGGATACCAACATGTTGAACAAAAGTGTTTACAAAACTAAGTTTTTACGGGTAATCTATGAGAACCTCATTTAATGCTTTCTATCCTATCACCTTCTGTTCCAAAAATAACCAAACTTTTTCAAAATAGAAACACTCAATGTACATTTTGGGATAATTCTCTTTTATTAATCAATATACTCTCCATTCACTTCTATGCACTTATGTTCACGCTCAACCAATTTGTCAAATGAGTCGGAAATGTCCTTTTCAGAAACCTTGTTTAGCTCGTCGGTCGTCGCCTTTTGAATGCGGTCAATTGTGTAGTGGTGCTTTCCTTTCATTGTAAGGTTAAGTTTCGGGAATAGAAAATAATCGCAAGGTGCCACATCAGGTGAATACGGCGAGTGGTGCAACGTAATAATCTGATTTTTTTTACAAAAATTCACTTACAAGGCGTGAACGATGAGATGGAGCATTATCGTGCAAAAGTGACCAACTTCCTGGTTCGCGATATTCAGGACGAATGCGACGAATTCTGGCAAGCAAACGTCGTAAAACGTCACGATAATACTGCCCCATCACTGTTTGACCGGCTCGGACAAATTCTTTGTGAATTATACCCTTCGAATCATAAAAAGCATTGTCTTCACTTTTGACTTCTCCAAACGACTTTTTTTGGGGATGTCCTTCCTCGGGCGACCTCCTTTCAGCAGATTGATGCTTTGTTTCCGGCTCATATTCAAAACACCACGTCTCGTCACCAGTTACTATCGTTTTCAAAAAGTTGGGGTCCTTACGAGCACTTTTAATGATGTCTTTACAATGTTCAATTCGATCCTATTTTTGGTCATCAGTGAGTTTGTCTGGAACAAATTGTGAGTTTACTTTTCCAAATCCCAATTCTTCGGTCAAAATGCGATAAACGGTAGTAGAAGGGATGCCCAATTCCATTTCAACGAAACGCACTGACGATTTCTTGTTAGATTTGATAAATTCACGCACTTTTTCAATGTGTTCTGTGGATAAACCCGATTTTGGACGGCCTGGTCTTTCGTCATCGCTGATGGTTTCTCTACCCTCTTTGAATCGCTTGTGCCACTCGTAAATTTGCGTGCGGGATAAACAATCATGACCATATGCTTGTTGGGAGCATTTGGTGCGTTTCGGTAAAAGATTTACCAAGTTTAACGCAAAACTCAATCGCAGCTCTTTGATTGAACTTCAATTTCCGACCGATAGTCAAAACATACTAACACATACGACGCAATAACTTGACCGGTTTACATCAGATCTTCATGAAACCTTGACAGAATGTTAATGAAAGTCTGCGCTTACGAACGCAAAGAGTTTACAACAGATGGCGCTAGTGTTTCTTTCTATTTTGAAAAAGTTCGGTTATTTTTGGCACAGAGGGTTACTATAGCATAGTGATGGTCAAGAGCTGGTAATAGGTAATCAGTGTTTATTCAGTGCCTCTGAATGTCCACATCATTTTTTACCTAGCAGTTGAATCTAGGTCAGGAACTATAGAAATATAGAGGAGGTTTTGAGAACATGTATATTTTACATTTTTGGATTGTCTGATAAAATCCAGTATTACATAATACTTCCATCTAAGTAGCAGAGGTGTGGATTGCTACTGCTACCAGAATGACAGTTGATTGTTCTTAACTATTCTTTATTTGTATAGCAAATTTGTTGGGAGTTTTTTTTTTGCTTTGTTCTGTTATTGGCACTGATCGATGACCAACTGGCCAGCTCCTTATGTACAGTATCATGCTCTAATAGAAAATAGAACATCTATTACTTAATATTACCACTATACGATTTCTATTATAGTTACATAGAGTATGCGAATTACATTATATTGTTTTTTTTCTTAACAGGTTTTTTTAACTAATATTTATTTTTTCCTTTTTTCCACTTTGTTTTCAAGATTGTTTTTTTCTTTTGCTTGTTTTTTGTTTCTATTTATTTTAATATATTTCTTACTTTATACTGACCTATTTCTTTTTTTAATATTTTCTTGTTTTCTCCATTTTTTTCAAACAAACTTATTGTAATTTACATCTTATAATTTTACGCCTATTTTCCGACAATGCTTGTATAAAAGTTCATAAACTTGCTGATTCTCAGAACTAAGAATTGAGTCTAAATTTACAGGCGAAGGAAGCTGTTTCGCTAAAATTTTATACAATTCATTATTTTCTCTATTAGAACCTGCATTCTAATATGAGGTGCTGTAAGGTTCTTATATTTCCGCAACTGCAATGTGGATCATCTCCGTATCCAATTCTCGATTTATGATGAGAGGTCAGGACATGACGACTTCTTATTCTACTCACGGTTTTAATGAAAGGACGATTGGTAATTCCTTGAAAGCAAGGTCTGCTTCGAATAGGCTCTTGTATATGTTTGAGGTTACTTCCTGTTGGACTGCTTTTGTAATGGTTATTCCTATTATTCGTTAGTTGTTGGCTGATTAGAAAATGTGCTTCAGTAAAAGAAATGTTCATGCCCGGAACGCAATCTCCTCTAATTGTAGCTCTTTTTGCAAAATTATCTACCATCTCGTTTTTTTTTATACCTGAGTGGCCTTTCATCCAGACTATGTTTATAGTTTAGTAGATTCTATTCATGAATGCGGTTGCTGATATTCGCCATTAGATGATTAAGAACTGGGGTGACTGTTCTCCAATTTTGTTACAGCTCTTCTACAGTCGGTAAAAATGACAAAATTGTTATTTCGCTGGGATTGAAAACAGTATTCAATAGCTTGATTGATCGCGACCAGTTCTGCTGTGTATACAGAATATTCAGGTGGTAGATATATTCCCATCCACTCCATCGTACTCGAATATCATGTCGGAATTTGTAAGTTGTTTATAAATCTAGTTCGGGATATTTCGTATAGATAACTTCGGGTTGAGAGTTATATGCAGCATATTCAGGTAACATGGATTGATTTGACTAGAGTGTACCTTCTTGATAGTAGGAAGGAGCCACTCATAACTTTCTACTATCACAGGAAGCCTTTTGTGTTGCCCGTATTTCGCTGTTAATCCAGGAATAAACTATTTGTGGATCTCACTAACGAATCCCTTGCTGACCAATTTAACCAGAGCTTTGTCGCTCAACATTTGTCGTCTCAATTGAAGAGCAGGTTCGATACATTCGACCTCCATGCCATTGATGGGAGTGCTATTCAAATACCCAATACACATCATAAGGCGCTTATTTTTGATCTGTTCTATGTTTTGAAGATGAATTCTCGATGCATTTCCGTAAAGTATTGATCTGTAGTCCAATATTGATCGAACTAAGGTCCTGTAAAAAGCTAAGCACACTGTTTGATCTGCTCCCCATTTAAGATGAGAAAACGTCTTCAGAATGTTAAAAGCATTCTGACTTCTCTTTAAAATGTATGTATTTGTAATATGTTCTTTTCAGTTAAGTTTTTTATCTAGCATAACCTCCAGATATTAAGTTTTATAAGATATATTCTGCCCTACCAGAGTGATGGTATTTGAAGGACTAAGGCGAGATCTGGTAAACGGACATACACAAGATTTTGAATAGGGAATGGAAGATCCATTACTCTCAAACCATTCTTGTGCAATGGAAGTCGCTGTTTCTAGAAGTTCCATAGATTGAGATACATTTTTGTTCTGGGTGCTAATGACATAGTCATCTGCAAACTGCATCTTAGCATCTCTTGAATTAAAAGCTCTTTCAAGCTAGTCTTTTAGACGTTGATCGTGGTCCAATAGTCTGCTCATAGGCTCTAATGAAAATGTTTCTGTTGCTATTCAGTAATAATAAATGGTTGGCAAGTTCTTTTGAAAGACCAATATTAATAATTTTACTGTATAATATATTCAACTCTACATTATCCTCCCATAACATAAAAATAATATAGAAGCATGCTCGTTATTCGAAAATCCAATTTGGATATCAGTTGTTAACTTTATCAGCAACTCTTGAGTAAACCGTCCTTATTGCGAGCTTGGGAGCAATTGGTTTTTCTCCAAGTAGAATTCCAACCTGTCCTTTATGAGCCTGTCGTATGTTTTCAAAACGCATGAAGCTGATGTAATGGAACAGTATGAATCTTCGGGTTTTCCAGGTTTTAGAATTGGAATAATTACATAATCATACCAATCTGTCGGTATTTCAGCATTCCCACAATATATTTTATTGAAAATATCCAATGATGATTGTTTCGTTGTTCTAGGTAGTTTCATCGATTAATGAATTTGGTCTTTTCCCGGAGATGTATTGTTGTTTGTAATTTGGAAAACTTAATATTTCAACTTAATTCATGACTTGATAGTATAGAGTATTGGTTTTTGAATGGCAATTATAAAGTTTCTTATTTCTGTTGCATGAGATTTTGACTTTTAGAAATTATAGATAAAGATCTTGAGTTAGAAAAATATCTTCTTACAAAATTCTACTAATACTTCAGATCAAATGCAGTTCACATCAAAGTTCGAATAAAGAAAGACTTTGGAGTAGTGTTGACTGTAAGTGTACCTACGGAGGTCGGTTCTTCTTTCAATGGTGGGTCGCCAGGGCCACGCTGCCAGCAGCCGTGGCTAAACTTATTTAAATATATGATAGCTGACCTGACGCATAATTGCTACGATTTGGGCGACGCCACCAAACCGTTGCCATGTCAATTAGCGAGTTAGTTTCTAGAATTCAATAGGCTAGTTTGGTCATGGTTATTGGTGACATTGCCGTGCGTCTTGGTAAAGGAGGGCCCTTAGTGCCCTGTGACCATCAAGCGGCTGGTACATGGTAAATAAACACTAGCGTTGTTAGCATGTATTTATTGGTTGGAATATCATAGTGATTCGCAAGTCGTGACAAAAAATTAAACATCATACGCAGGACCGCATTTTAAGGAGGTTTTCAAGTTTTTTAATATATTCAAAACCGTCAACTGGAATGAATTAAAATTTGGTATGTGGATTTACCAAAGTATTGTCCATATTAAAAAGTATTTACTTAAAATTGATGTGCACCAGTGGCGGAGTTACAGGGGATTAGTGGAATTATTTGTGCAATTTTTCGAATTTTACCTTCAATTTGTTACAAATAATTACTCTTCTATTTTTTTCCTAGAGTGCACTGTTTTCGTAAAAATAAAAATGAAACAAATTATTTCAAACATTTTAGTTTGTTCAGTTAATTAGAATCGCCTAAGATCATCATGAAGAGCCTTGATACAATTAGTCTTAAAATAAAATAGGAGGCCTTGATGCTAACTTGACGTTTCTTGGGAGATAGAGTTTGTCAAAGTTATGTGTTATACGGTTGTTATCATTACTACTATCATTCTTTTGTAAAAGTCAAGTCAAAAGTTTGTTTTTCCATTTTTGAGTGTTGTGAAATGGAATTTAACAATGATGAGTTCGCCGATATTATTTTCGTGTACAGGTTCTGTAATGGAAATGCTATAGCAGCTTTTCGCGAGTATCAACGTAGATTTCCTAACAGATGCCAACGTCAAATGTTACATAGAAGACCCTCCTTAAAATGCGGTCCTGTGTATGATGTTTCATTTTCGGTCAAGACTTGTGAATTACCCTGACATTCCTGTATAAAAAAAACCCTACCTTTGAAGTTGAATGTATATGCGACATACCTCGTCTTCAGTGACTTTATGCGGTTTTACATGAATTGCATATGAATCAGGGTTTATTAGGGTAGATAAAAAGTAATGGGACGTGAGCCTATGTGGGAGAATAACTCCATAATGAGGGTTTCAAAATATTCAGAAACCTAATCATTTTCATCCGGGAAAACTGGGAATCATATGATTTAAAGTTACTATCAAAAACATCTGCTGCAGACCTAGAAGAAACACTGAGCGTGAATTCGCCAATGTCGCAAGTAGTGCAAGCGATGCAGCGGCCGGATAGCGGCCTGGAGATCCGGGATCGAATGTGGCTGAAGATCACCATTCCGAACGCGTTCATCGGCACCGATCTGATCGATTGGCTGCTGACACACGTAGAGGGCTTCCACGAACGGAGGGATGCCAGAAAGTACGCCTCGCACCTGCTCAAGGCCGGGTTCATCAGGCATACTGTTAACAAGATCACTTTTTCTGAGCAGGTACGTCACACGCAAAACTAGATATTCATTAGAAAGGCTTTACTACGTTGATATTCCATCAGGCACGTCGATTCTCCTTGCAACGAATTCACAGCGAACTAGAGGGATAAAATCAGTTGTCGTTCCATTATTGCGTCTCCGATTATACGGATGCAATTTTTACATTTAACTCTCCCTCACTCAATTATATTTGGACTCATATAACTACAATCGGAAGTTGAACTGTTCTTGGAAATTGGAAACGTAATATGTGACTTCTTAGTTACAATGTTTGAGATACTTATCAGCTTTAATTAGTGTTCAAATGTCCACCCGTCCAGTCCAGCGCATATATTGATTGATTTTACCAGCCTGTTACATGTTGCTTATAAATATTGTTCCAAGTTGTGGCTGTTCAAAGCAGTAACACACATTTGTTAACTTATTCCGAAATTTGCAGTCTTCGAGGATATGCGGCATGGGACAGAAACGTTGAGTGACACGATCAGAATACATTGTTGAAGCATCAGCAGCATCTTGATGTCACCGTGCTAATCCATCGACAAGTTCTTTATTTCAGTAGGAATATGACATTAAGCTTGTTTTTAAATCCGATTTATAAACCAATAACTCTTTGCTTATACGGCGCCCGGCATCTGGGTTTGATACTGATGCACGTCGTATCTTTTCACCTAATTCTTTGTTGAGGGTGACTTTGGAGTGCGTTCTACTAGAAAGATCTTATGTTTATAATATCTATACGCCGTATAAATCCTAACTTTGAGCACTGCATATAAATTATTCTTTTTCTCGTTTTTAGTGTTATTACATCTTCGGTGACCTGTGTTCGGCTATGAGCAACCTGAAGGTGCAAGGGGATACAGACAGTGTGGGTCCGTTGCCGAACGTCCCCAATTACATGCCGTATAGTGGTACTTATAACCCGCTCGAGTATATGCCGATGCCATTTTACAGTGAAAATACCGTCTATGGTTACAATAAGGAAGAGTCTGTGCTTAGCGGAAGCGGTAAGTTTACCTTCTTACTTTACACTCCAAGGAACTATTTTCGGACATTTTTATTTATATTTACCATATATCTAATGTAAATACCCCAAAAACTGGAGACGTTTTAACTCTTGTGATCTCTTTTTAACAAAAAAGAATCACAGTACAGTACGAGTAAGTAGATAACTGTTGTGGAACATCTAAACGAGTAATATTTGGCTACAACTATTGCAACTATGGTATATCCCAGGCGTCATGACCATATTACTATATCCGCTATAACTCTGCTATATTTTGGCAATATTGTTTGCAATCTGACACTTGGCAGAAATCGTACAGAGTTTGGAAGCGCTATTACGGTAAATAGCATGGAATGCTGTATATACATACGTAAATATCCCGTATCCTGTGTAATACTTCGTCTACAAAAAAAAAACACGAGGATCAAATTTATCCAGCTCTTGGGGCAAGATTAAAACTGCAAACATGCCGGCCATGATATATTTGAGGTATTTATTTTATGTTATACTGGGTCATTGTTGAACTACAAACATTACACGGTTTTCCTACTCGCCAAACTGTTTCGGTAATTACAAGTTGATATGAAAACCGTTTCAATTGAACATAGTCGGATAATAAGAACTTTATCTAGTGTGTAGTTAAACTATGTAGTGTTTTTTGAGCTATTTATTCAGTTTAAAATTTCGATCATACATTTCACTGGTATTTGAGGAGTGCATGCTCAGCTGTGGTTAACTAGAAAATTGTACCTACACTCTGAACTGCAATTTATAATCTAATTTTAATGGTCATGACGTTTATTTACAGTCCATTGAAATAGAAGCGTAAAAAATGTACTATTCTGCGATAGAGAGCAATTCATCGCCCGTATGATTTTTAAAACTTCGGCAAATGTGGTTATATATTAGGGATTACGAATGCTGGTGGGTATTGGAAACATTTTGTATTAGTTATGTCTGTTTTGTCATTCTGTTTCGAGTTTCCAGATACAAAGTCCGTTGGAACCATGAAATGTGAAAAACTCCTATTATGTATTAGTGGCGTTGCCACATGATTAGAACCAGTACACACTTATCTGTTATTCAAGATATGCGAATTAGTTATGTGAGAGTAGTATATACATAAATATTTAGTCATGCAAGGTTTTACTATTAAAACTCGGACATCATAAACACCCACACGAAGCTGGTGCGTACGTTGTTTGAATTGAACCGACGAATTCTTCCCCTCGCGTGGCTTCAGTTGCAAAATGCAGTCAGTGGAAGTTAAACTTATTGCATGTATTCCTAGAGAAACATCTAAAGCTGTTATGAATTTATCGTCGTCTTACCAAATATGGATAGTCACTAGTTATATATGGTTGAGTCTAAAGGAAATATGAAAATCCAAATCCTTTAGGAATGTGCTATCCTTGGGGAGCACCTGAAAGAAAAACAAGCTGAGTATACTAAGCAGTTAGAAAACATTCCAAATTTTCTACAAATAAAACAGAATGTCAGAAGATATTTCACGAACCATCGAAATCTACGCTGCTGGAACTAAAGCACATCTTTAGATAATCTAAAGGATTATTAAAGACTTATCCATATTGAAAAGACCAGGTAATAATCAAGAAACCAAGTCTGAGGGAATACCATCCTATGAAGACTCTTCCATTAGTGGAAGAATTGAGAAAATTGCATAAAAGAAACAGTAAAAGTCAAGATTCAGTGACGAAAAAAGCTGATATTGGAAGACTTCGATGGATGTTTTTACTGTTTCAGTGATTCACAAAAGAATAAGGTATTTATTTCATATAATGGTCCATTTTTTATCACTGAATATGACTTTATGTCATTCTTTTACAAAGTGTATTCTTCTACTAGCACCCTGAAGGCGCTTATGATAATACTCCCTCAGGTCTGCTTTACTAATTATTTTTGGGTATTTTAAATGTGAAAAATCTTTAATAACCCGTCCGACTATTCCCTGAAATGCTTTAGTTCCTGCAGTTTGGGCTGTATACCTGTTAGCGTAGATTTCGGCGGTTCGCCTAATATCGCCCGACATTTTTTGCATTTGCAAGACGAAGCACATTCAGATAAAAAATGTCAATGGGCACATCGTTATCAAGCTTCAAAGACGTACATCTTTGACGCGGAGAAATAAAAAATTTTCCGTAGGGTGGGCGTCTAGGGCAAGCGCTACCAGCTCGGCGTTAATGTCTTTGACAAGTAATTCATGAATGCTTTCTACCTAATTACACTACAGTTGCAATTAAATCCAGAAGGAATGTTGGAGGGTAACATTCTGATGGTGACGGGCATATCCGAAATACTATTATACTGAGGGGGTGCAGTTCCTGCTATGTCGCAGAGATCCACATAACTGACGTTTTGTACTTCTGGAGAAGTGTGAATATAGTCTTCTTCAAAATTTCCTAAGGCTCTGCTATTCGAAGATTTAACGAAAGCTATCCCTGATGCCCCTTCTAGTATTATTCTGGACATATATTGGAGTTAAACTTGATTGGTAATTGCTGTGCAGTGAGATTTTCTAAATATACTAATGAGGCTGTATAAGGTTTGGATATAAGGCGTGATTCTTCATGTTTTGCGTATATTCGGCATTAGCACCAGCCTTATTATTCGGGTCTTTATATTTATTAATGATTGCTGTCGATATTTTAACTATTTTAAACTCGGCATGAAGAGCTGATACTTAGTTTTAGAGCATAGTTTGTACGTGCCCATTTCGCGATTCTACTATTAAAAATATTTTAGTTACAAAATCAAGACAGCTTTCAATAAGGCGTACGAATAGTAGAGCCAGAGATTATTCGAACAATACTATATTATCACTTCTAGGTATCCTACGCTAATTTCTTGTTTCTCTGCGTCAAAAATGTATATCTTTGAAGCATGCTGAATGAACTGTTCACGAGCTTTGTGCTTATTAATACTTTTGATCAGCATGGAAAAATGAACATTTTCCATTGGTTTTGGAGAAAATTTTCCTAGACTCGTTCCCCGTAAGTAATGTCCTCTAGATTAAACTATCTGATTAACTACATTTGATGAAATATGATGATAAATTTTGTTTTTTTACTAAGAATGCTTGCAATACGTTTAACTTTCGTTGGTTGCGTTTTTGCTGCTGAAGTGGTGCGGAAGGACGAAACAAGTTGGTGCTATTCAAGTGACTCACAACATTGACCATCAGCTCCGCGTGAGTGTTCATGAAGTGGTTATGATATTCGAGTGTCAATAGTTGAACGTTTCATAAATAAGTATTTATACAGATACCACCCTTATTCTGTGTCACAGATACCTATCATGAATAATAAGGAAAAGTATAATGTTTCGATTGTTGTGGAGCGGAGTTATGGGGTAGCTAACAAAATAGTTGGAAAACTAAAGTGCTATATAGGAACGTATTCTCGATCGCCGCTTTTAGTCTATTTGTTACAAAATGATATAGCGTGTTTACTTCCGTGTTACAGATATATTCTAACAATTTATTGCATTAAACTTGTGATTTCAGTGCGTATTGAGTGTGCTTTAGCGCGTTGGAGGATACTGTTTGTTTTATAGCAATGTAAAATGTAGTATTTGATCCGTAGCATAGGTATGTAGACATATGTTACAACAAAATATCAGAATATAAAACCCTTCTTTTTCAGATGTCCTTTTGATCGAATCCTCATGAATCTGTGTGCAATTGATGGACAAATTGTGAAACATTGGGTTCCTCATACTCTGGCATGACATGACTACCATCGCAGGATATTTTTTAAGTATCATTTCAGATTATTCAACTTCTCTACTTGCCACAATGCTTATTTATAGTGAGAAGTTGATTAATTTGGTTATTCAACCATTTATAGTTCATCAGAAAATGTTGGTAAATTGATATTACTTTATTATGAATATTGAGATATCTGTTTGCTAATTTTTGTTGAGTGCTATTTTTTGACAACATTTTGTTCTGGTGAACTAGGAAAGAGTTAAATTATGTTTAATTAATTTGATTTTAACGATAATAATGCCATGACAAATTTTTTTATTATTCGTATAGATTGTTGACTTGTTCAAGTATTCATAATGTTTTATACATATCAAGATAACAAAAGTTCCTCATTAGTTGTCGCCCATAAACCTTACCTGATCTACATGCCTTATTTTTATATAGTATATGTTCTTTCCGAGGAAGTACCAAATTACTTTTCTGTTGCTTTTCTTCCAAGTTCTTAGCCTTTTCAAGGATACAGAAAAAAATAATGTCTAGGAGAATTTAAAGTTACCTGTCATCTTTTGAATTCAAAACTTGAATCAATGTTGCCTTGATGTTTACCTGAAGTATATTCCCAAGACTCGTGTGGCCTGGGCCCTTTAAATTACAAAATACTTAAATCTCTTGCAATTTACTGACATGTGTCATTTCACGAAGTAGAACAAACATAATATTTATAGATGAGAGGTAGAGACAATCACAGGATTACTTTAAAGAGCGTCATCTAAATAATTTGTTATACTTAAAAGTATTCATACTTTGGTACCTCCTCGACATTTTGTTATATTTTAGTAGAATTTATTGTTTATATCATAAATCCTTAGCATGTTTTGATATCATAGTTGTATTTTAGAAATGCTGAATTTCTCAAACTATGTTATTGTGCCAACTTAGTTCCAACTTTTCAATAATACTCAAATATCTGATTGCAATTTTGCTCATATATTTTTTTAGTGACATTATTTAATAAATCAGATATAATTTTAATTGCTTTTTAATTATTTAATGCATGTAAATAAAATTATTTACCTTTTATGTTTTGTCTTACTTTTTGTTTCGCATGCGTTTTATTTAAATTCTAAAAATATGAATCTGTGTATGGAACCCTGTGAACAAACAACGTTTCTGATTACTTGGGAACTAGTAGCGTACCAAGGTACACGGTTTGGCTATGGACTATCATTTTACCTTTTAGTAGACAAATATTACCATGGAACACCACATAAGTAAACAAAAATGTGTTACATCATATTATCTCTAAAGCTGCATGGAAATGTGGGTTTATGCTTTACATGGACACAATATCTGAAAATTGAGTTTTTAATGTATCATCGAACAAACATACTGGTACTGATCATTGGACTCGACGACTAGATTCTTTGACGCGTTATATCAATCAAAACTGATCGTGTACCTAACAAAATATGGGCCTGAAAAATACTAACGCATTTCTTTTTCAATACAGTTGTGACATTACCTACTCCGAGAAAACGATTCTGGTACTGCGACGTGGAGAAGTTACCATATACCTTGTAATTTGTAAGACTAACCATTCACAAAATGCTTACAGTTTTATTTTTGTAACAACGTAATCGACCAACGAATTGGATGAAAATGGTTATGTTTGATTGCACTCAGTCATTGAGATGGAGCATTGAATGTCTTCAATAAAACTCATCAGTTGAATCTTGGCGTTTTTGGAGTATGTTTTACCAGGTTATACTCCTTCGCAGCCTATATAGATAGACATATAGATATGCTTTATCTGAAGAATACAATCATTCTTGATAACAAAGCTAACTGGAAACTAAACTAAAACATAATTACATACGTGGATCTAAAGTTGGTGAACTGTAGGACTCGCACATGGTGTAATATGCTGTACATATTAAAAATTTTTAAAGTTGACGGTGGAATATCTTTAAACTGTTAATTTTTTTGATAGGATCAGGGAGATACATGTAAATCTTCAGACCATACAATCATTCCATCCTTTCCTGTCAAGCTCGTTGTTCCGTCAGCGATTAATGAACTATCAACTGTCGTATATTTCGGAAAGAAATACTGAAGGGATTACTTACTTTCAACAACAAAGTTCGAGAGGAAAGATTGGCAGTCTATTTTCCATGATGCACTTTCGTGACAGGGAAGAATAGCATGATTTAATGGTAGGAAGGAGCGCTTGTGTAAGGACTGCATTTGTCAGTGATTGTCAGCTCATTTAGGTGACATGCATGTTAGAACATATCTGAAGTGATGTTTATGATTTAACTGTCCAGACTACATTCAGTAGCTTAGCTAAAGCATACTCCAGCTGCATTCTAGTATATTTCATTTGTAAGTTTTATTTTCCCGAAGTGACTCCCGCTTGATTCAGGTAAATGTGCATGGGACACAATCGTTTTATTATGAAACTGATACATGAAGGGCGGACATTTTAAAAATAAATATTTAATGCGCATGACACTATAGTGCAGTGAAAAGGTTCCAGCAAATGTCTAACACGTTACCCTGGGTAACATCTACCGAGTTTCCATCTACATGGGCATGCTAATAAGCAGTGGTAATTGGTAATATACTTGTATTCTGTAGGAGGAATGAGATTATAAGGTGATAATGCTGCCGCCTTATAACGGTACAATATCATCGATTAAGTTATCTCGACTAGGTAACACTTGAACCGAATCTGCCTTTCACGCTCCTTATGATGCTTTAGCTGTGTAATGCTTATTATAACATACTGTATATGTATGGTTGTTAGGATATGTTTCTTCCAAGAAGGATGGAATTCATCTATACAACCTTTGTAGTGGTTGATACAAAGTCCCGCATTGCAAGTTGAACGTTTCCATAAGACTACACCTGCTGTTCCCAACACCCAAGCGATTTTGTTGGTGGTGGTAACGTCACAATACCATCAGGAGTCAAATAAATGGTCTATGAGTTGGTGTTCATCGCAGAACAGTAGGCCTCAAAGGGTTAACTGATATATTGATATGTTATTTTTCCGATCATGAGTATAGTGTTCTGTCTCTTTTTGTTACTCCGCGTTTGTATCTTCTGATATTTTATCACAGTTCGTATCAGTCTCAAACAGCATAAACTCTGAAACTTATCCTTGTTTCCTTATTTTTCTGGCCTCACATATATTGGGGATAATTTATTGGCATTTCGACCACCTCAGTGGTGTTTTTGCGAAGTATTTACACTTGTCGATTCAACTTAACTGTTTTACCTTGTACTATAGAAAAAACTACCAACATGGCCCAAACGTCGCTAAATTTTCTGTGACATCTTTGGTCAAACATTGCGATTTAACTACAACTTTCTTGTTAACCTATATCTGTTGATGATCCTCCGGTTAAATACCATTCAAGGACAAACAAGTCATATCAAAACCCCATTTGAAAGTTATCTTTTAGCTAGAAATGAAGTAATGTTTACTTGGTAGCAAGGTATGTTTGAAAAACTGGACCTTGAAAGTATTTTTTGGAATATATATAAAAATGTGTCAAGCTTGGTAGTTTGAATAATATGCATAGTTTTTCTGTACTCTCAGATATTAATTTGTTTCTATTGCAGGGGGTTCGAGTGGTTCCGACCACCTGAAAGACCCCGCAGGCGGAGGCAGCGGCGGCGTAGCCGGCGGTCACAGCAGCGCCTCCGACAGCGACCTCACCTCCTTGGGGCCCCGCAGCGGGGTTGGAGGGGGTCACACCGGCCCCACAGGAAACGGCAACGGTAGCTCCAACGGCTCCGAGCAGAGCAGCGGTACGCAGATCGCAGGAGGCGGTGGCCAGGGCCAAGGGCATCCCAAGGACATTGCCGGTAGTAGACAGTCTTTTAAGATTGCCATGGGGAACCCATGCGAGATGTTTGTCGATGTCATGTAGTCGTGTTGTGTCATGTAGCCTGTGCGTGTCACTGTAGAGTAGCTGGTGTCTCGAGGATTGTTTGTGGTTATTGTGTGCATAGATGATACTGATTAATATCTTTGTTATTGGTCTCAAAATGAAGGTTTAATTTAAAAAAACGTTTTGATTTATTATACAGTATGGTTATAATTACATACGTATGCATATCTCGAAAAATAAAGTTTAATTGATTATGTGCCGGATATTCAATATAAGGCCGCGTATGAGACAAAAATAAAAACGCATTTTTTTACTAATAATGGAAAATATTATAATGAGTAAAGAAAAACAATTAAATTAGACAAGAAAAATAATTAAACCTTGGAAAAAGTACCAAGCTGGCAGATGAAATTGAAAAGGTGTGAATTTTCATGGCACCTGTTTTATGCAAATCATTAAAACCTACATAACTACTAAGTTTATAATCCAAAAGTTTATCACTTCAATTTTTCTATGGATATGAAATACATGGTCGTATTAAAACATTTCTTGCTGAAAAACTACTGAGTCTGTTTATATAGCATTTAATGATTGCAGTATCGTCTATGTACCTTGAAATTCTACAAAATTTGTTTGGTATAACTGACGCTTCAGTATTTTCCTGGTGACTTTAAATTAACACTATGGCAGTGTTACAGTTTTTATCAGATGAACTTGTGTTGAGACTAAACAGGTCTATAAAGACTGGTACTCAGATACACATATTGTTATAAAGCATTCTTTTGACTGTTAATAATTATTATGATAATCTGTGTACATGGGCCGTTAAAGTAATTACTATATTTCACAACATGCACACATGTAATGTTCTGTAAATTCGTTATCAAATCTTACTTTGAATACATTTCAGGTGTACCAAACGATTAATGACAGAATTAGAATATACTCACAGTATTAAATCCTAGATACTTTCTTTGGAAGGCACTGCTTTTTTCTCTGATCTGAGGATGTATCAGTGCACATAAATGATCCCGTTCCCAAAAACTTCTCTTTCTCCTCATTACTAGTCGAAAATTAAATTAGTGCTTTTCAAAAAGGTCCCCCCACCTATTTTTTGAATGCGTCAAGTTAGCAGGCTGAAATAAGGGGTAAAAAAATTGATGCATGAATACTTTAACGTACTCGTAAAAGAAAAACTCAGGATGGCGGCTGAGCACCATTTAAGAACATTATTTTTTAAGTGAAATGCGTGCGACGACATGTGATACATCATTTTGAAGCTCCTTATCAGTGCTTTATAACTCTAGAGTGTAATTTTACTTTGCTTCAAAATGGCAGATTGGCGAGCTTCCATAGTTGAGATTTTTTGTACATTGAACCACCGAAAACTCAACAGCTAATCATCAAAACACTATAATATCAATATTCTTCTTTTGAAGGATATACCTGAGTGTATAATAGAATATGGGACATTCCTTTTTAAAAAATTGATTGATTTCAACGTTTTTAAATTGAGTGTGCAGAGTTATATTACGCAGGGTCGGTTAGATCCTTCCACGAAAAGATATCACACTAGCATATTAATTCTCAATTTTTTTCTTACTGCTAAATGCAACAATATATACTACCTTATACAATTCAACATGTGTGGTTTCATTCAACGGCCAGAAAAATATGGAGAATTATCCGTGCGAAAACCACAGAATTATTTCCAGATCTTGCATTGACCATAACATTTTTACTAGAGATGGCACGAATATTTGTTTACTATTCGGTATTTTAGCATTTTCCAAAACCACAGAATTATTTTCAGGTCTTATATTAACCATAGATTTTTTTCTAGAGATGCCACGATTATTTGTTTACTATTCGGTATTTTATCATTTTGGGACACTTTTAATAGTCGTAGGAAATAAATATTACTCAATAATCTGTATTTTTCAACAACAAACATTGCAGTCAAAACCTATTAGAGGTAAGATGATTTTTTTAGCATTTGTTCATAGCAACAGATTTCGTGTTTCCTTATAACCTATAACCGCTTGTAAGACATATCGTGGGTTGACTATTATACTGTTCTAATAGTACAAAAGTAGTTATGGAGAAAAACGTAATTAAATATTCACATTTTACTATTTTCACTATTATTACCTACTTTTTTTTGAAACGGTACTCAAGTTGAGAGCTAGGTATCTGGTTAACGCATTTCTTAGGTTATTCATTCAATTTTTTGCTTATAATATTTAAAACAATAAATAAGCAAATGGCTGATAGAACAAAAATATTATATTAACATAATCAGATTTACAAAATATGAAAATATTTGTTCTAACAACACAGGAACGATAGAAAACTAAACGATAAATTATTTATTTTTATAAAAAGTAACATTTTATTCCAAATTTTTTTATTTTTTGTATCCCCATTATTTGTTTTTTGCCTTTTTGTGACGTATTTTTTCTTTTTTAAAAATATCAGCATCGTTATATTTACGTCAACGGGTGGCATAAATTTGAATAGTTTTGTAAGGTCAAGAACTTTCGCAAAAGGCAGAAGGCATTTTACTGGTTCAGAAGCGCTTCGTATTTCGGGCAATAAACTTGAAACATGATTGGTTGTTTTTGTTCTGGTTGTGTTTGATGCCGAGATTGGAACTTCAATATAATTGGAGTCTTTATCGTGACTAACCTTGTAATAAATTTTTTTAGGGTCAGTTCTGGTATACTTTAATTGCCTTAAAGATGAATAGGGTACTTTTTTAAAATTCAGAGTTTGTGATGCTTCTTTATAAAGGTAAAAATCTTGGGGCTTCATGTGAAAAACTTTAAAAGGTTTCCTCTGGTTAACCGTTGGTAGAAGGCGTAGCAATCCCAGAGGGCTAAAAATTTCTACTCCGGATAATTTTCTTTCTATCTGGCTGTGCAAATTATCAACTTCTTGGACACTACTATGTCCAGGCTGTCCAAACTTTTGGACTATTTGCTCAAGTGTAGGATGCTCTTCCAAAAACTTCATTAATGCTAGACTCATTATTGAATTCTTGTTTTGTGGCACGCAGGAATCAGACCACAAAATTATTTTTTTGATAAACGGAAAGTCCACAATAACCATGTTTAATACTATATCTTTATTAGACCTGAAGCGATGTCGCTGCCCTGCCGTCCATGTGTGCCCTCGCTTGCTTTTTTAAACTGCAATGAGCAGTAAGGTTGTAAGTATTTAGTTTCCTACTGTAGAAGAAACATGACACATTAGAACGTGGCAGTGCAAATACATTCTCAAGGTCAAAACATATTATAGCTGTTTGCTGATCTTCATTGGCCCTGTCTAAATCACGTTCTAATTTAGTGATTTTTTTCCCTGAACATGTTTTTCAAAAATACACTTTTCTCCATCGGTGAAGCCACCTTCCTTTTTCAATCTGATCTCACACACATCACGACGATCTTTTTTTGGTTTTAAAAAGTCAATATTATATTCGTAATTAAAAATGTTTCTGTAAATATGTTTTTTAACTGGTTGTAGTTGTTTTTCAGTACAAAACTCGACATACAAAGAGTACAGCTTATTCATATTCAATGTTGCATCAAGATACTCTTTTTTCGTGTCGACTCTACAATAGTGAGACACAACTCGTGGTAGTTGGCTTATATGTAGGCGAACGTTGTCTTTACTGGTAGCGCTTATGTTTTTTTTAGTATGACGACCTTGTTGTGATGATGATGGGATACCTGTTAGTTCGTCCTTTTTTTTCTCGTGGAAATGATTAATTCTTTGCTGGCTTATGTCCAAAGTAGATAAAAAGAAGGTCTTGCATTCACGAATTTTGTCATTGGCTACATGAAAATGGTATTTGAAGGTATATTTTCGACGCGAGTTCTCCCTGGAAGTCTGTGTTCTTGCTTGGTCGATTCTTTCAGTGTTTTTTGCATAAAAATGCCACTTAGAATCATTTGGTAAACCCCAAAACCCTTTGAATATGTTTTCTCTCTCATACAAACTTATTTTTTTTGCACAAGAGAATTTACAGCTGCTTTCACAATTTTTCACGGTTTTTAAATTTCTACCCCTTCGATTTGTTCCTTTTACATTTTTGTATTCCTGACCTGATTGACATAATGCTTTATTTACGTTCATCTTCCAAGTTTCTGGTTGCCGTTTGCGCTTTCTACTGAGTTTTCTACCTTCTGTTAAGTCATATTCTCCCGACGTGTTACTTGGTTGCTTTCCTCTGGGGTGTTTTGGTTGCCGTCCGTTCATTGGCTTCTCGAGGTGAATTCATTTCTGAAATAATAATAATACCAGTTGCTATGGACACGTTGGTATGCCCACAATTTGTTTTTTACATACACATAACTATACGAATGAAATATTATAGTAATTAATACTCAAATTTATGCAAAAAGCTATCTAAACTAACCAGACTAACACAATATAACTCAAATTACCTGTCTCATAGGCGACGCTGGCTGATAAACTGACACTTTCGATTTCTTCATCCGATGTATGATCCGATGGAATGAAATCCGGATCTCGACAAGAATCATCGCTGTCCTCAAAATATTCGAACTGACAATTTTCTGACGGGCTTCTATTTGCAGAAGTTGACCTAAAACCAGAAAAATTATTATTCCCTTTAATTTGTTCTAATAGTGGATCTAATAATATAGAGCACAAACATTTTCGGATAGAAAATATAATATTATATTGTTCTAATAGAACATTTCTATTATATGTTAAAAATACACAGAAACCACAGTTATAAGCTAAGAAAAACGTAACACCACGTTGTTTGTTATTGTCACACTATGTACTAAAACGTTAATACTATAGTGTTCTATCAGCGCCAAAATGTAAAATCTAATTGGCTGGTTAGTTAGAACACTATAATAGTAACAGAAATTTGAATTTTAGACATAGAACAATTTAATATTGTTTCTAATTTCGTAATGTAGAAGAATTTGAGTAATGCTTTCTATTTAGACAGAACAGTAATGAAAAACTCTATTGTTAAACACTGGAACTTCGTTTCCCGCCAAAACTGCTGATAGAACAATATAATATTCAACCCACGATATGTCTTACTGTATACACTGCCTCCGGGCGATGAATTTTTACGATTTGTGACATTTTTTGGATACTGATGCATATTTGCTAACTGCCACTTGGAAGGGTAAGCTGTCTGATCTAGGCGAGCCGCTTTCAGATAAAAATCAACTCATCATCCATCGCATGCACTGCAACGAGGCAGGTCGCAACATGACACCCGCGAAATATGTAACTAAATAATAATAATAAAGGGTCTTTATTGCACTATACATTTAGTACATTACGAGGGGCGAGGTTTAGCGTGAGCTATTTTTCCACCTAACCCCGTTTTGATAATTTATACGAAATTTAAATCGGTTTGTTTTAAACCAACAAAACTGTGATCAAAGGGATTTTTTTTAAAATAACTATAATTAACCAATAAAAAAAAATATAAGTGGCAATTCATGTTTGCGAGAGAAGATCGGACTTCAATTTTAATTTAAAAGTTTTAATATTCGCAATATTTTTAAAATGAAAGTTAATACTGTTGTAATATTTAACGGCATTGTAAATAAAGGTTCTTGAATATAAAACAGTACGGTGGACTGGCAGTATAAAGAAAGCCTGATGCCTCGTGTTAATATTATGCGTGCTGGATCTGGTAATAAATTTTTCAAACAGGTATGGGGGTGATGCGGATAGTAAAATACGATGCACAGAACTTATAACAGAATATTTGTATAGATTATCTATAGTTAACCAATTGCGGTCAGAATACGTATGCGATATATGATCAAATTTCCTCAAATTATTTATATACCTACTACAAGTATTTTGCATTATCTGTAGACGTCTTTTATTCGCAGCAGTTAGGCAAGGGTAATAAATTATTAGCCCATACGAAATCTTAGACAATATCAAGCTTTCACATAACTGTTTTTTCAATTGCTCACCAGTGATGCAATTGTTTGCAAATAGAAGCCGGAGCGAACCGCAACATTGCCTCAAAACGTGCTGTAAGTGTTTTTCAAACCTCAGGTCTTCATCTAAATGTAAGCCCAAATTTTTGGTACATTATGAATAAGGGATGATTTTTCCTTGCTTATAAGATTTGCTCTTATTTGGATATTACCAAATAGCAAGGCTTTACACTTCGATGGGTTGAGCTTGAGGTTATGTAACTTGCAATAGCGGCTAATAGTTGACAAATCTTCATTGATTTGGCCTTGGGCTTCAGAGTAGCGTGAGGCTGGAAAATCATACTTTACCTGAGTGTCATCGGCAAAGAATTGCACATGACAGTGCTTGACAGTATCTTGAAGATCCGCGGTGTATAACAAAAAAGCAATGGAGCTAATACGGAGCCTTGAGGTACTCCGGACTGAACTTCATTTGGCAAAGACATCTGACCATCAACCACAGCCACTTGCGACCGATCACTTAAATATGACTTGATGAGCTTACAAGCAAGATCATCAAAGCCACAGAAATGACATTTGGCTACAAGCAGTTTGTGATTGAATGTATCAAATGCCTTCGAGAAATCTAAAAGGACAAGAGCACACAAGTTTTTATTGTCAAGCGCGGAAATTATGCCATCGATCAAGTCCACTAAAGCCGTAGTAGTGCTATGATTTTTTTAAAACCCGGTTGATGAACACTTATAATATTATTTTTGTCTTTTGGATAGAAGAGGCAAAAGACTTATCGGTCGTAGGTCGTCAAATGACAAAGGATTCGAGGTTTTAGCGAGTGGTTTTACCATTGCTGTTTTCCACGCGCTTGGAAAATAGCCTCTCTCTAAGCATAGATTGATAATATGCAACAAATAAAGATTTATAGAGGGGTAGCATAATTTTAACATTCGCAACGTAACTCCGTCATTACCAGATGCATTGGAACCAATATGACTGATTATAGATGCTAAGCTTGTCAAGTCAATTAAATTGAAAGAAAACCTCTCAAAACTATGTCTGTTGTTACGATAATGAATTATTTTGTCAATACATTGTTCATCACTATTCTTAAAAATTGAGGTAAAGTAATCATTCACTTTATATGGATTGGAAAGGTGGACCGGAATGTTCGGAGGCTCTTTATTACTTTGTATGTGCATTTGATTCAATGATTTGTAAAGAGATTTAGAGTTTTTATTTTTATGTAGATGTTCCAAATAGGCTGATTTTTCATTGCGTAATGCTAGCAAGCAGTAATTTCTGAGGCTTTTATAGCTGTTCCAGTTTTCTTCTGATGGATCCATTTTATATTTGGAGAGAGCTTCACCCCTTTCCCTGAATAACATTTGTACGTTTGCAGTACGCCAAGGCGAGGGGCTTTTGGCTTTGTGACTCGTACTGTTCGTTCAGGACAGTGCAAGTCAAAAAGTGACAATAAGTTTGATGTCAAAAACTCAACTTTGCTTTCTATGTCGCTGAAGTAAAGTATGCTTTCCCAGTCTATCCGATAAAGGTCATTATCAAATGCCTCTAAGTTAATGTTGTTAAAGTCTCTGTATGTTACAACTTTTGGCTCACATTTGATTGAACATTTAACATCACAATATACCATATTCTGATGGTCACTAAAGCTATCAGCATTCATTGTACCACTAGAAACATATGAAGTAGAAGAACTTATAAATATAGGATCTAATAATGTAGAAGTTCTCTATGTTATTCTAGTCCGTTCACTTATAATTTGGGTCATGCCATATATTTCAAAACAATCATTTATTTTATTTTCCACGAGCATGTTAATATTAAAATCACCCAACACCAGTATATTGTCATATTCGCTTATGAGTTGTGGTAGTAGATTATCCAAGAATTCTAACATACTTGATAAGTTTTCATTTGGAGGGTTATAAATAACTCCTACACAGTAACTTGTATTAGCAATTTTAAACGAGAGAAACAGAAATTCTATTTTCAGCTCGTTGTAGCTATTATCAAAGCTCAGTACCTGTACATTGCTGACAGTATCGCTCTTTATAAAAATAGCAACACCTCCACCTCTACCCTGCCTATCGCATCTAAATAAGTTAAAACCTCTTATGCTAACAACATCTGAAGGGATATTATCGGAGAGCCACGTTTCGGATACACCAACTATGTCATTATCCTCTACCAATGATTTGAAACAATCAAAACCGGAAACCAACGATCTTGCATTAACATGAGCAATCCTGAGATTTTTAAGCTTTTGTTTATTTCCCATAGTTTATTTTAGCCCTCAAATTATTAAAGTGACTTTGTAATATTTGGACAATCATTCTGATTGAATGATGAGTGATTGATATCGTGGTTAGCGTTATATTTTTGATTGTTTTTTACACAATTTATACATCTTACCGTATTCGATGAACATTCCTTCAGACGATGCTCGCCACTACATAATGGACATACATGTATTATAGCTGACTGACAATTTTTTTCCAGATGACCGATTCCGCTACATTTGAAACATCTAGTTATCCTAATATGATCACTCACTTGGCACTTATTCCAACCAACATATACATAACCGCGATCGATAAGGAAATTTCTCACTGTAGGCGACACTTCTAATATCAAATTCGTGGAGTTTTTATGTTTTGTCTTCGCCACCAATTTAATTTCGTGTTCTTGAAAATCTTCTAAGCCATTAACAGTTCGTATATTCTGGAGAATATCATCATCTGTAGAGTTCTTATCTAAAAGAACATTTTTCACAAGTAGTCGAGGGTTGAATAACTTAGCCTTGTCAACCTCATATTTGGCACCTAATTTCGTTTCAATATGCTGCCGTAGCGTATGCATAGAGCCTTCATCAGCGCAGCGAATTATTACGCCGTTCTTAATTTTTTTGACGCCATCTAGGCAAAGTTTTAATTGAGTAGGATTGACGTGTTTGTGGACATCACTGAGCACATCATTGCTGGAAATGGACGAGTTATTTGCTTTCACAACAATACCTTGTGATGGTTGGGTATTAGTCTGCCTGTTGTTAATTACAGCGTGGGAAATTGAGCTTTTTGGAGCGCCTACTGCAGGCAATGCAGCCTTGGCAGCATATGATACATTTAATGACGATACCTTCTCTTATAATAAGCTATTGTTGGTCTTCAATTCATTATTTAAATCAACTAATAAATTTTTCTCACGATTTAGACATTCGACTTCGTGTCGAAGGATCACAACATCATTAGAATTCGCGCTTGGGGAAGACCTGCATTTAGAGATGCAGTTTTTACATTTCCAATTCTTTCTATCAGCAAAAAAAAGTTTGGCGACGTTTTCAAAACATTTAGAATGTAAAATAACACTGCAGTTATCACCTTCACACTTCACTCACGATTTTCTAATGCTATCGCAACATAACTCGCACTTTTTGTCGGTTTGACTTAGACCTAAGTCGGTGTCTCCCGCCATCCTGCTGAAATCTCCAGCTGTTTGGCAACACTGCCTAGGCCGTGCGCCGTGGCTGCATGGTGATTATCGTGTGGTCAAATGTCAAAATAGCACGTTGTTGCACCTGATCCTATTCCACATACACATCTCGCTTGACCGGAACACATGTAGTTACTAATACACTACAATTACAGGAAATATTTCCGAGAATTAACCCAAGAAAACTGCAAAAATAACGAGCGCATGAATGACACCAAATTTGTCATTCTGTGACTCTTATCTTCTCTGACTAATGGCCAAGAGCGTTACAGGATACTCGGTATTCGGCAAATTAACTATTGTGGTTTTGATCACTGGTCAGAGTGTCAGTCGACCATATTGAAAGATAGTGATTTTATGTTTTAAGGATATAAAATATTGTGATCATGGATTATTTTCATAAACTCAAAGATCAGCTTGCTAACTTGACCCGTTAAAAAATAGTTAGGGAGGGGGGGGGTGCAAAGTACTGAAAGAAAGTCTTGCTTCCCATCCTAACCCAACCCAGCTCTATACATCTAGGAATGATGATTGAAAATGTGTAATCCCAGTAAATTTATTAGGCTGAGAGAGAATTAGGTATAATGGGATTGGGGTTACGGTTCTACTCGAATATCTGCTTGAAGTGGAAGAGTGGTTTCAATCAATTTCGCTGAATTTTTATATGTTATTAGTCTTAGCATTTTGAACAAATGTTTCAATAGACACAGGTTCCCAAACTAAACGGGTCCCAATGTGTAGGCGGTCTAAGTTAGTTTAATGGGCTAGTTCTACTCGAATATCTGCTTTTTGTGGAATCGTAATTTCTGTTAATTTCGCTGAATTTTTTATATTTTATGCGTGTCGGCGTCCTGAATAAATGCCTTAATGGGCACTGGCCTCAACACTCAACGGGTCCCAAGATATATGACATCCAAGTCGGTATAATGGGGAGTCGGATTTACTCAGCTATCTGCTCTATCTAGAAGAGTGGTTTCGGTTAATATGAATTTTTGAAATCTCATGTATCTCAGCATCATGAACAAATGTCTTAAAGGGCACAAAACAATTGAAATAACATCCCTTTTCCATCGAGGTTGGAGGAATTAGATTGGATGAATTTTAGTAACAGGCAGGACTACAAAATCTGTCTGCTAACCGGCTAGGACTGAACAAGGGTAATGACAGTGACAGCCCCTGGTGTATTTTTCTATACAAGGAAGGCCGAACACCTCGTTGTGAGAGGACATTTTTAGGGTATTCCTTACTTGTTGCATCTACACAGATGCGCAATCATTATCTGTTTAGTTTTTTATTGCATTACCTATTTTTTTTTTGTCATTTTTATATTTCGTTTTTGGTCTCCCGTTCTTCGTGTTCGATTTGATTTATACCATCGAGCACGGCGCAGCGCATGACATGCTATGCATGTAACTAAGTTTTTGCTATTCGAACCATGCGACTTATGAGAAACTTCAGCAATCAAAAAGTGATATGAAGTACCGTGAGGAGCTCAGCCGCCCTGCTTTTGGGATAAATGATATATGACGTGTTTGTTTTAACTGTGAATTATTACTTACACGTGACGAAGCGGCCTCGCAAAATCCCGAAAGCCTTAGGTCCTTAGACAAAAATCCATTGAAATATGTATGAGATGTAATCACCTGAGAGCTAGTATTGAAGCTCGTGTTGAAATATATTTGGAGAGAAACATTTACGTCCCTCAAGCATCTCGGTTCTGTTCACAGCACTTCGATGTAAAGGCATTTCTTTTGACGAACTTTTATGTTGGCTTACAAAATAAATCGACCTATTGTTTTGTCTGGAATAAAAATCAGTAGATTTTCTACACAATTAAGAAAATCAGTTCTAAAACATCTTGTGAACTCTCTTGGTCATGATAAATTGACTGATGTAAATTTTGCTTATTTCACGTCGATATCAACAGCTCAATTCTTTTTTTTTTTTGTTTTTTTTTATACTCCAACTACCACGAATGCCTAAGGCCTAAGCACCCATTGGGTACCGTGGGGCTATGGGGGATACATGGGAAAGGGGGGACGCCACACGGACTCTGGCGAGGGAACACGTGTTCATGCAACATGCACACATTCTGGCTCCGCCTACGAGAACCGCCGGGTGGTACCTCCGCGTTCGACAGTCAGAAACCATCTACCACCTACGGACAATCACAACATCCACGGCCAAGAGAAACATTTCTCCCGGGACGGGACCCGAACCCGCACAGCGCACGGCGGCCGATCAGGAAACCGAAGAGTCCACCACTGCGGCCACCGCTGCTGCCTAAAACAAACACACAACATCCATGGCGAAGGCGAGATTCGAACTCGCGGCCCGGCCGGCCGGCTGATCAGTAGCACGACACTCTGACCCACGCGGCCAACCGAGGTCCCGTTATTATAATTCAATAATTTACACGAGTCTTGCGTTCCTGTCGTTGGAGATAATAACTTTCGTGAGGTCACCACTAAATGTCTGTTTATATTTTTGTGTAAAATACGCCATAGACTTCCTCACAACTTTTTGAAGATTTTGTTCAACTATTAGGCGACAGGGCAACCGTATGTTGATCTATGATTATGCGTTTTGTGATGGAAAATATTGGTTTTGGAGCGATAACTCGTTAACAGTTCATCGTAGAGCAAATGAATTGTATAAAGACACTCCATATAATTTGAAGGCCATTTCAGTAGTTGATGGACAGTTATATTATATTGAAAAATCGGGAAATTTTCGTACTTTGATTCAAAGTTAATCGGTTTAAAACTGATATCATTAAGTAAAACCGATTATGATGAATAAAAGATACAATCTTCAAATGCCTCGTCATGCGAGGTAACCATCGACTCACTACTGAAATGGCCAATCGGGCCTAATTCAGCGATGGATAGTTGAAGCACTAAGGCCCGTATCGTCAGTCGTCCCTACAATTGTAGGGCGCCTTTATGGCCTCCTTGATTGTCATAGTTTTCTACTTCTCCCTGTCAGCGCTCTATTTTGAGGTTATCTCACAAACATCTATTTGCATCAAATTGTGCTTGCTTTTGAGTTATATCATGTTCTATCAGCCTGAAATTTCCTACAATTTAAAAAGAAAACATATCTTCACAATAGGAGAGCGCTGACGCTGACTCGGGACAAGTGTAATCTAGACATTTTCGAAGGAGGGAAAGGAGTATGACAATCAAGGAGGTCATAAACGCGCCCTACAATTGTAGGGACGACTGACGATACGGGCCTAAATGGCCTCGTTGAATCCACTTATAAGTTTCTCGACAAGCTTATTCTGAGGGATCATGTCCATACATTTGAGAGATTTCTGCTTAATCGCGGGTGGCCTTTACAAATAGTGGATAAAAGTGTTGTCCTAGCACTCGATTGAATGACGTGAATGTGGTTGGTTGAGCATCAAAATCTTGCGAGAAGACTTAAGATTTGGCAACGTTTGAATCAGGAACACGTTCCGCGGTTTCAACTGAATTTTCAATACTTACGTCGATTGACCCTCGGCGCATACCAACTTGAACTAGCCCCTTCGTATGTTCAGGACAAGTTAGAACATGAGGGTACTGATATCTTTGAAGTCGATATAAACAGAAACATCTCAGGCCTCTTGAATGGTCTCGTCATCATCACATCAAGTACCCCAGTACAATGCTTCTGCGATCTTTCAGGATGCCGGTAATAGGAACATCAATGGCAATGGCGCTCAAATAAGTGAATTGATAGTGGATGGTGAAGATTGAAGTTATGCAATGAAAAACAAAAAAATGTAAAAAATGATTGGAGAAAAGATTATCGTGACTACTGGTCTGAACAATTACCCCCTAACTCTTGCTCTTGCTTTCTTGGTATCCGTTGATGTTTGGGCTTTGTGTCCATCGATACATTTATTCAGGATGCCAAGTCATGCGGCATATCATCGATTCAGTCAAATTAAACAGAAATACTTATCCAAGTAGAGTAGATATCTGAGTGGAACATATATCTAGTTATACTGACTTCTGCAGCGTATATCTTGGGACCCGTTGAGTTTTTGCGCGTGTTCCCTTTGAGACATGTGTTCTGGATGCCGAGACACATAAAATATAAAAAATTCAGCGAAATTAACCCAAACCACTCTTCCGCTTAAAGCAAATATTCGAATGGGGCTGATACTCCATTATACCGACTTGGACGTCCGATATCTTGGGACCCGTTGAGGTTAGGGCCCTGAGCCCATTGAAATATTCATTCGGAATGCCAAGGCGCATAACATACAAAATTCCGCGAAATTAACTGAAACCACTTGTCTCATAGGCGTATTGCCGGGTTCTTTCCTGATATTATTTGAACTTTATTCTGGATTATTATTGTGGGTATATGCAAGAATCCTGACACTTTTGTTTTGATTAGAATGTTGGATGTAGCATAAGTAACATACGAGACAAACACTGTTTTTTAGAATTCCATCTATACTGATAACACCAGTTGATAAGGCACCAACTTTTTTTATTTTTATTGCTTTATATATGTACTCGTATAACCTGTAACTATAACTTGAACTTTTATGTAAAGAAAGTATATATATATATATACTAAATATTTAAAATAATTTCCAGTTAAATATTTTTATGAGAAAGTTTTAAAATTCTTGTTCTTTGTAGAATATATGTTTTTATTGTATTTATATATATATGTATATAAAAAGAATCTGTCGCATTACTGATGAGAATGATTTGTGTTCTTTCAAAATTATTTATAGCATCTTTTATGGTATTATTTATTCACCCACCAACTTACCAAAAGTTTTCTTCTATGAGACTATTTCAACATTTTTGTTCCATATACTAATTTCATAGCATAATAGATGTAAAAACAAAAGTTCACTCTTTCGTTTGGAGTGCAAGAGGATTACCATGATTCGATATATTGTAATAAAAATATTTTACGATGTAAAATTGATTCCAAACATTATTTATTCACATTGTATTGCTATTGCA